TCAGCTCATATTGTGGTAGGCAGAGGTGCATATTCGAAGAAAACAATCGTATATTGGAAGATATCCGTTTTAATTTTTTGGCAGAGTTCAACATTTTGATACGAAGCTAAACTTATATGATGTCAGCGCAAATTATTTCTAAAAGGACTGTAGATTGATAGCGCACTGCTCACTTGTACACCTGAAAGTAACGAGCTATTGTAAGCGACAGACTTTTTATTTCGACTGATACAGCACCAAATCGTCTTAGCTGCTGTAGTCAAGCGCATCGAGTCAATAAAGTAGTCAAAGTTAATGCTTGAAAATGATTATATAACAGTCTATTATCAATACAAAGTCATTTAATCAGTCTCCACAGTTCTATAAACACCTCTCTTCCGCAACTTGTACGCCAAACCCCTCGACTCCAACTTTTGCTTTCTCCATCGTGCCCGCTCGAACTGCTATGGACACTACCGAGATATCACCATCTTGATCCTTTACACAGATGCCCCTTTACTGCTAAATCTGTCCGTGATGCCATTACATGGGTCCATTCCCCTTGCTCAATCAACCTAGTGGCTTGTGCCTTGGCAAACCCCCTTTTTGAATGCTCACAAGCCTCGCTTCTTCTCCGTTTGACAACAAAGGGGATCAATTTCTCGCAGCTAGCAGTGGATAGGCGTATAGAGGACGACCAGATATTCCGCTCTTCAACAGGAAGTCGCTTGTGCCTGAGTTTCGGCCGCTGTACCTTGTCACCGCTCTCAGCGTTAGTCAGATCCTTTTACGCCATGTTATTGATAGTTTGGAGACTACAGATCTCGAGTTAGGATGGTGCTGATTGCTAGAATTTCTCACACTGACCAAAGTGACATAGGAATAATAAAGCATACCTGCAGTGGATATGGAGGTTGGGCTAGTGTGGGCACGGCCAGGGTATATGCGTTTTCTCGACCACAAAGTGATGTAATTTTGCTGAAGCTACTGAATTGGCAGAGCCCGAGTTTTGCACATTCATTGAAGAGTATTCCAGCCCTCATTATAGGCGTTTATGATGCCGTGATATGGCGGTGTTTTTCCTTTTTGTCTAACCTAAACGACATGTTGATCATTACCCCTTTTAAGTAAAAAGAAAATCAAATGTGGAGAGAACTGGGAAGTCCGTGCATATCGGAGTAGAGGGTATGGTGATTACACTTCTGCCGGACAAAGAATATTATGAACTATCTCTTCGAAATCATCATTTTGAACACTGACAGTACATTCAACAGCTTGCCTGACTCTGAGCCATCATAAAATTTATGCATTGACATCATTGAAAGTGCCTACGTCAAGCTTTGGATGATAAAAAATTTATGAGAACAGTCATGATATGACTCGGATTTCGCCCTTTTGAAAAAGTATAAAAGACCACCATGTTCGCTGTCGTTTGCTCCCTAATTCTTGCCACGCTCGCTTTTTTTAGAGTGAACGGTGCTTATGCAGGACTTGCCACCCTGTCCAGCACGCCTCTTGGCTTGATCCTAATTCAGGCGTCTTACCGGTTATTGGCAACATCGTCGCTAGCCTGTCTTAGTTTTGTTTAGACCTCTCTGTATGGGATGCGAAGGGGGACGCCCCGGCTGCTGAACTTGGAGACCGCTAAACAAGAGGGGAGAAATGAAAATGAATATAAAAATTATAAACTAGCGTTGTGTAGACGGGTCATGCCCAAAGCACCACCCTACTAGTCGTAGTGACGCGATGTACCATAGCTCCCCTTATCTGTGAACCAGACTAGGTAGAATAGAAGATAGAGTAGTAACCAATGCCCTACCATTCCCAATAAACAATTTTCCTTCAATGAGATGAGACTTTGAACGAGAGTATAGCGCTTACTTGTTGAATGTAGTCTTGCTCACAAGAAAATGTTGCGAGAGAAACTCACTTGCGTAGGCTGTTGTCATAACCAACCTCTTTGTCCTTCCAAATTGAAAACGTAAGTATTCGATGTCACTTCTTACTTGAGCCATTCAATGATGCTCTTCAGAAGAAGCGATAAAGACCAAAAAGCTTACAAAGGAAGATGAAGTGTAAGTCGTTTGCCACTGTTCTCTTTTGCGAAAGAATTAGACATAACAAGTAGAAATAGCTAGCTTTTCCTTGCTTCCAACTCTCCGAAAAGTAGTCGTCGACAGATCACCAAACCTGCGCATACATCCTGACTTTTTTTTCGTTACTGTAAACTTACATAAATGATAAACAGAATAGAGGCAGTTTTGGTTTTTTTCCCTCAAGATATGATGTAGGATACACGATCAAAGCTGAAGACATTCTCTACAAGCTAGTTATTTTCCCTGTCGGAGTTTGTGAGAGACTCCGCGACTCTAACAAGTATTCGCTTGAGGTTTTGGTATAGCAGAGAATCTTGCACAGGAAAGCCCACAGCTATTGATTTCTGAATCAACCAACGCTGTCTGACGTATTGGGAAAACTCTATCAATATAGTCGAGAAATTCCGCGTCAACCCCTATAATTTCTTGTCAGAAGCTGGAACTCAGTTGCTTGCTGTGAGCTTTTTGATACGATACAAATAAATTTATTGTGGAATAGTAGTGAAACGTGGTAGTGAAAAAGTTCGTTACGACGATGCTCTGTATGTAAAGGAGTAATGTCGATGGTCATCTTAGTTATATACGCGTTGAGAATTCGGAGTTGTCCTCAGAGACCGTCCATGATAACTTCACTTCAAGATGACAGAATGCTGAAGCCAACTAACTTACAGGCTTAAAGAATGACCGACAATTGTGATCGAACCATAATTTCAAGCCCTTATAGTCGTTACGTTACTAGAAAGATCGGTGGACCTCATGTCGTTTAGATTACTGTATGACTTATTGTATTATCCTGCAGACGAGTGAACTTCTCGTGAGGTTAAAACTGCTTTTTATTCTATTAATCAACTGCTCTATTTATACTTGTTGATTCGTGACTTATTATATAAAAATGTAAAAGAAATCTAATTTTAAGAGGATATTCAATGTGACTTCGCTGGTAAAGAAGTCCCCTTGAACCGGCGTTCGGTTGAACTGTCATTTTGTATTTTAGGCGACGACACTCATGTAGCGGAGTATGTTAAGCAAGATTAAAAAAATTGCAAAAAAGTGATTTCTGCCGGATTCGAACCGGCGACCGTCTGTGTGTTAGACAGACGTGATAACCGACTACACCAAGAAATCTTAACTGAAATTTTTTAGTTTATAGTCAACATGTTCCATTATAATACAGAGTGTGCGCAATGAAATAATAGCAAGCTGAAGTTATCGGGGAATAGGTCTGAAACACTTAATAACAATTTCATCAAGCTTTTTATTAATTTTTGTATCAACTGTACTTATTTGACTATAACTAAGAGCAATTGGATGTACCCGCTACGCATAGGTATAGTAATGACGGCCATAACTCTCCCTGCACATCCACTAAGTCGCTCCTAAATTTCCATCTAGCCTTTTCTACCTCTACTGGTCTATAACTTTGTCGGCCAACAACATCATGTATACCTTTGATTATCAGAGGTGGATTTTAAATAAGACATTAACCGTGAATAATTGCCTGCAATTGTCTGCCACGGCCATACTCACATAGTTACTACAGACATTCGGCTCATACTCGATAAGGACGGTTTCTACATTACACTCATTCGAGCACATGCCACTAGTGTCAGAGTCTTAATTTGCATTTACTCTGTTCCACTAGTCACGTTTTCGAGTTAACTCCATCCAAATTGTCAATTCCTCACCATTCCAGCAAGGCACAGCGGTTGCAACCGGCGTAGTTTGAATGGCTTCACCGATAGCTCGTGACAACCCGTGCCAAGCTGCCACTCTAGTACGCTTAATTAACATGTATTGGTGGAATATACGCCATATAGCATCTGCGGCGAGATGACAGCCCTGCAATAGTTCTAGTGGTATAGTCAGACCTGCGCCGTCCTGTTACGTCACTCATCAGAGTTAACTTCTTGTAATAACTTATCGGCTGCTTCGCACCATCAGTCACCCTTTGCTATCTTTCTTGAGGTCGTCAATTTTGTTATCAAAAGTAGGCCGAGAGTGAGCCGGTAGTTCAATCCCCCAGGTTTGTAACTCGCTTTGGCTCGGCATTGTCTATGTCACCTCTTCATAGCAATATGTCAGTACTTTGCTAAAACATACCTCTTGACATCCAGATTTTAGTCTCCCAGTGCGTAAACAGTACGTAGAAGCAAGAGTGTCTCTTGGCTATAATGCGAAGCCTTCTGAGTAACCACCTGTCGCTTGTCCCAATGCACGTACGGACCCTTTTCCATGCTGTAGACATCACTCATCTTAGCTATGTGGTGTTTCCTTTTGTCCCAGTCTACGCACAATAGGTCGACCTAAAGAAGTTGCACATCGTTTAATACAGCGTCGGTGATGTCTCTTTTAAAATCATGGACCTTAGCATTTTTATCCGACCGCCCAAACCTGAGAAAGAGCGATGCAATCAAGATATGTTATCAAATATCTTTAAGCCCTCAAGATTTGCTAATAGTACGCCGTCTTTCCTTGCTTTACGCCTAATGGCAACTTTCATTTCAGACTGTTAGTTTTTGTCGCCTAATGAAATGTCACTTCATCTGCAATCGCTCCATCAATGAATGTACATGTTGTACTTCGAAGTTGGTAGTGGCGAGTTGGTAGTGGCGAGTACAGTATTGCTCCAAAGTGGACGTTTTGAATCTGAAGTCAGCCACTGGTACCTCAAATTCTCGACTTAGAGCACAGGCGACGTCGTCTCCGGCACCTGTTTCTTTGTGAGGTTTCGATTAGCAGTATGTCAAAAAGCTGACTCAGCGATTGACAGCATATAAATTTGACCCCTCATGCTGACAGCTTATAAACAACGATAGCATGGAACCAGAAGGTGCCTGAGGCTGTATTGATGATCAATTGAGATGTAGTACGCTGTCTGGCTAAATAATCAGGTAACTGAAAACGCCACAGAGCTAGCAAAAATAATACAACCAAAATCTGTGATCTTTTAATCGACCAGTATATTGTACAGTGTATTGGAACATCGAACTGTGTTTCCTAGATAAAATTTTACAATCTCACTCTATAGCTTTCTATGAGTATGTAGCGTAGTAAATAATGTAGAAATAGAGGGGTCTACTCAGGAACCAGAAATCCCACCAGACATTCGTCCAACATAAACTCGAAGTTTACCCAAGAATGGGTTAACACTAGTGAGATAATTCCATGATTAGCCGATGATCAAACCATGTCATGGTTTCGGGAACCAAGATACTTACTGAATAACTTTGTTCCATCTCTACCTGCTATCCGCATGATGTCTTTGACGCCTATTACGATAAAGTGAGCCATGAGCTCAATACTTCGTACAAACGATATGATGAACGGTTTCTTACCTCCGGGGTGAAACTTGACATAGGATGTCATGTTGTACACTTTACCGTTAAGCGCAGTCCATGCGTCGTTCTCCGTTCGATGCTCTTTGATTTCTGATAATGTGAAACGACCTAGTTGTGGAACACCCTACGACAGAGGAAGGTTATCATGAAAAGCCTATGAACAAGCTAAAGTCGAGCGGGCATGCTAAATTCCCTTACCCTAAGATCTTGACCTGAGCTCTTCAATCGTGCCCAATCTAGTGGTGAATGCCCGGGTTCTAGAATCACCTTTTGCCTCCGCTTTGGCTGTTTGGTTGCTGCCGCCACTAGTCTTTGTGGCCCATTTCGGGAAGGAAACTCAGGGACATCAGTGGTATTAGCTGCAGGTGAAACAAAGGCCATTAGTCAATAACATCTTCCTATAACAAAGACATAGTGTTCAGATCTATACCATCGGTATCAGATAAGGTCATGGTAGGGGTGAGATTGCTACTGTTGGGAATGGCATTGTTGGCCATGGTGGATTGTCGAAGGAGAAAAAATAAAATGGGTCCGCTGCAGGTTTATAAAATTACCCTTTCTTAACAACCCAGCAAACTCGGTACTCCCTACTGTTGTTGCTCTTATACCCATTCATTCGATTTGGATCTCTCTTCCATGCAAAAGTGATTGACAAGTTTCTATCCAAACGTCTATACCTCTGTTCACATGGCTACACCATTTAAACTATCTGACGATCCTAGTCAGCGGGACCTTGTAGGATTTGCAGTCATGTACACAATGTCTTTTGCAGTCATCGCCACCTCGGAACTGATGCGAAGGTATTTACTGGGCTTCTGTTAGTTATATGGAAGAAGACGCAGGTCTACCAAAGTTACAGCAGCCGATGACTGACCCTCAAATTGTTTTAGGTTTTGTGGGGTTCCAAGTCATATAACTCGCAAAATCATTCATGTCGGTGCTGGACTATGCGTCTTGTTTGTCATATCGCTGTTTGATCATTGGCAATATGCAATCATACCTCATACCAGCTTCATTGTAGTCAATGCGGCAGTGAGACGTTGGAAAATACTCAAAAGCATGGAACCTCCGAACGGTAAGAAATATCTTTGAAACCCACGGTAACAACCAAAATGGATGCTGATTTGTTTCAACAGCGAAATCGTGGGGCACAGTGTACTTCTGTATCAGCGTCTCTTCGCTGTTTTTTCTAGTATGTGCCAAAACATATAACGATGGCTTAAAGTGGACTGTCCCGCAGTATGTCTACCTGACTGGTATCATGGCCATGACACTCGGCGACGCTTTTGCAGCCATCATAGGTGAAAGGTTTGGCAAAAGGAGACACTACGTACCCGTCGATCAGGAATCAAACGCGACATCATGCAAAACATATGAAGGATCGGCGGCATGCTTTGTTGCCATATTTTTAGGCACATTGATGGTTGGTTGGATCTGCTCTGTTGATGCATGGGCAGATGCTTTTGTTTGCGCCACCGTTGGAACTTTTTTCGAAGCAATATCCCCTTGGGGAACCGATAACCTCACTGTACCATTCAGTGTCTGTAGCGTAATGTACGCAGTTAGAATGTGAACGTGTTTTGCTTGTCCATAATACATGTACTATTTAATGTCAATGTTTGCTCATTTACAAGGTTCAACATAGTTTGCGACTTTATCGTATACAGATACTTATAGCTAAAAATGTTTCCAAAGCTCATCTGCTCACTACAAAGATTCATATGGATAGTTTTTAAAACTTCTTGTATGGCAAAAATTTGCCACTCATGGTGATCTTAACACGATCACCATTCGGGTCAGGTTCCTAGTTTCAGAGGTCTGGTTAGCGCCAACCATATCCTTAAATTTGCACATCTATTTATCGCTCACCTTATCAATCTTGACTGTGTAATCAATGGCTGACATGATTCCGTCTCCAAACTTTAGAAGAGTGGTTAGCTTTTGTCGCACAAGCTAGGTCACGCGTTGACCAAAAAGTACCTTTTCGTGAATAACGGCTTTCATAGGATAGCCATATACTTGCAGGATCTCGTAGAAGCGGTACAAAGTTGGATCTGTAGGTGGTATCGACATCAAACTTAACAGATCATGTAGGCTTAGTAAAATGTGGCAAATCTCCCTCTGAATACACGCTATCGTGATACTCACCCACCACGGTCCGGGAAAAACTCTGGTCCAAGGTCGTCATTGATATGAGCCTGAGGTATATTCAGAATAGAGGACAGCTTCTCTCCGTCTTCGGGGGTAGGTTTTGCCTTTTCAAATGGAGTTACAAAAGGGCTGCTGATATTGAATGCCAACCGCTTCAGGGCATTGACGACTTACTTGACCATAGAACAATGCAGCAACCCAGACTTCGTCGCGACCCATCTTATTTCCAATCTGCTCGAAACTTGAAAATTCAAAGATGTTCAGTATAGAGCTGCACGAGAGGCATAGGTTGGAGCGGCGTCCTGCCACCAGAACTCTTACCTCAGTTTCTTTTGTCGTTTCGCTTCAAATAAGCGCTTGCTCAGAGGGGAAAGTTTTGCTTGTACCTGTATTGAAAAGTTTAGAATGAGTCAAGGTGGCTGAAATGCGACATGCAGTGATCCTTTGTACTAACGCTCATTTACAACGGTATTCGGAGAGAACGGGTTGAGTTCAGAAGGCCAAACGCCAACGCATAGGGCGTGATTTGAGATTGTGACTGTCGCAAGGAAACTCAAAAAAGCAGAGTATAATAAACTCTTCTCGAGATGTCATTATTGTTACTATTATGCTAGTTGCTTTATTACAGTATGATGATTTAAAAGTGCCAATTATATAACTAAAGTCGGTAGTCTTCAAGCTTCAGTTTGGTAGCGTCATTCGGATGTCGAACTACAATTCTTGCCTTGATAAGAGTTTCTATGTATGGTGGCCAATATGTCCCTTCTTCCAATCGCAAATATGCTCCAGGCGTATTATACGAAGCATTCATTAATTCCTATAATGCGCATAATTAGCGAAAACCCGGCATAAGGCAATATGAATATAGCCAAATTCACTTACAATAAGGAGATCCTTCAATGAGAATTCCACATCCATTAATTCAGACGTCCCAACAGCGCTCCTCGACGATATCTGAAAAAGTAATACTGACGTGAGATACGTATTCTAATATTCTCAACAAGTTGATTTTCCTACTTACCCTAACAGATTTTGGAGGATATGTTTCGTCTAGGAAATCGTGCAGATCATTCATAATTCTCATGTACCTGTCGTTGACCTCATGATATTCTTCTCTAAGTTTGCTTTTTATCGAAGGATTGTTAGTTCGTTCTGCATCAAGGTGAGACACTCATTGTAATAAATTACCTGGCAGGCGATTCCGTTGAATCTCTGGAAGTCTCGACTTCGATGAGCTTTTTCGTAAGTGCATCGCGAACTTCCTGATGTTCTTGCAAAATTTGCTGTTGTCTGAGAAAAATGTTGTTTCTTTAGTGTGTGCCATTGTCCACTCATCCATCCGATTAAATACATACCTTGTAAGGTTTTCCTTTGTTTGCGATAGCTCTTGCTGTAAGTATGTGTATGCTTTTTCGAGTTCCTCTGTCGTACCAATCAAATGTCTCTTCGCCACCAGTTCATGTAGAGCTTCATCTCTATCGACATTGTCTCGGCTATCCGTCGCTATCATACGCATTAGTGGCATGATAACATAGAAAAATAAGATTAGCAATGCCTTACCTAATCTTTGTATATCGATTTCTTTCTGAAGCATTTGCTTTTGCCTTTGAACCAATAGTAATCGCTACTTCCATAATTATTTTCGACGTCGCGTATTTTAAGCCGTTTTCAAAAACTTGTGAACTAACCTTGTAATCAAAATCAAGCTGGCGATTATCCGCAACTTTTCGATTTATCTTTTGCTCTTGTGCGCGTTTTTGGAGCTAGGTTACAGACGAGATTAGTCTCATTCCGTTTGATTTGGACGTGAATGCCGACACGTACCTGTTGAAGCTGTAATCGCTTCTGGCTGATCAATTCCACAAGGTTTTCGTGGCGATGTTTTTCAGCATGGTCAATAGGTCTCGGCAGGTCGTCAATCCTCAACTTTGCAGCCTCTTTCGTGGCTCGATTTAGCGCATTCTCCAATAATGATTGTTGAATGCTCATGTACGCGATTGTAGGTGATTGAATCCTCGAAAAGTGAAAATTGCAGATTCAGCGGGAGCCACTCAAATGCTAATTGAACTCCCGATCAAATTTTCAAAGGCTGGTAGCAGCAGTCAGCAAAAGCTCACAATGGTATATTTCCCTCAAAGTACATCCAGTTGATCATGATACCAAGATGTTGAGGAAATTATATATTACCTGTTGATAAAAAGGTTTGGGAGCGTATCTGTCATAACGTTCTTGTCCATAAAATTAGTGTTTTCTGATTTGCAATCAAATACTATACATCAGGTCTTGATTCAACAAGGTATTCCAAGTTTAGGTATTCCAAGTTTAATGATCGCCTCGTATATTTACGGTATCGTAACATCGAAACAATTTAAAATAGATTCCGTAATGTTCCATTTGCCCACTGTCCTATGGCATTTTCTTTCAGCTGCAGGTCTCAGTTTCTATCATATGATGCAAACACATGGCGAGATCCATATTATAGTATTCAGCGTTCTTGAATGATAATTTTCATTGAGATTCACCACAGGTGGGATGAATGAAGTACTTCTGTACAGAGGGTATAGCTGTCAGAACAAGATGGCAAACAGTACGAGTGCGTTGACTGGTAGAACCTTCGCTTGACATTAATTCTATAAACAAGCCTCGCACCTGCACTGGCAACGTCAAAGCCGAGGCTACTTCTTGGTAAACAGCCGAGTTGCCATTGTCCCAATCCATTGAAACTCAGGTGTGATCGTGGATTTCCAGTACGCTGAAAGGCAAAACGGTATATCACGTGCGAGCACTTGCTTGAGAAATCCAGCCAATTAAATTGTACAGTTTGGTACATGCGCAGGATGTCTGCCTGCCATTCGCGATGTTGAATGTGGATACTCATTGCTCAATCGGTGGCGCAACCTAATGGATAAGGGAGTCAAAGTTGAATGATGAAAGCTTTTGTTCTTCTTCACTCATGGTTCTCGCAATACCCAATACTTACAGCTTCAAATTCAAATCTATATTCAAATTAAACAAGAAATCTATAAAGCATCATCTGGATGAACGAGTCAATTGTCATAATGATCTTCTATCCTATTTGCCGGAAGAGATTCTTTTGAACGTATTCGCAAATCTTGACAGCCCAACAGAATTTATCTGCACAAGCCGCTATTTTGCATCCTTGGGATCTTCTCCACGATTTGTAGCACATTGGATCACGTTGCGCTACGGAAAGAGCTGTGCTCTGTACTGCGCCCTGACGAAGCACTCTGAAATATGCGATGACAAACTCGTTCGTTGCCTGATGACACTTCAAGTGGATATGCCGAGATACTTGCTGCAGATGTTGATTGAAAATTATCGTGGACCACGCAGAGCGTCAGTAAAGTCCTCGAACTCAACGAATCAGTCTGGTGGGAAGCTTTCGACCTTCACTGACGCTATCAGCATGCTTCCTTTCTCTGGATACGCTGCAGTCATCAACGCCGCTTTTGAAAAATACGGTGATGTCTTTACATCAGAGGAAAATGATTTTTCGACGGTCATCCGGATATTGGGAGAGCTCCAAAACGGTAGTGCCAGCGAAGAGAAGCAAGCACAACTGGAGCAGATATTTTTGGAAAAGCAATTTTCGCCAGTACCAATGCCTGAACAGATGATGCCAAAATGTTTGGTGAAGCTTGCCCTTGAAGATAGCAGATTGTTCAGCAAAGTATCACCGGTTTTCCGAATCGACAAGCATGCTCGTTACCGAGTTTGGGAATGGGCATTAGTGGATGCTATCGACAATTCATTCTCAAGCAGTGACAAGCTTAGTACAAGGAAAATGAAGCTGATGGAAAGCACATCCAAATGTTTAAAGGAAATGCCGGTGGGTGGCATTAAAGAAGAGCGCGAGATTTTCATTCTGGCAATGGTTAGCGTGTTCAAGAGGTATCCCAGTGGATATATCTCGGCATCTGTCATCGCCAAAGCTTTCCATCTTGTAGACAAGTATATCAAACCTGACTTGGCGGATATGATGGTGAAGGACGAGATAGAAACAAAGCAAGACATATCTCCTGTTATACTGGAAGGATTTGAAAAATTTATTTCCACTCGAGCAAAAAATTGAAACCAACGACTGATTGTCGAACTTGATACCCTCCCCCCTTCCTATTAGTGTACAGTGCTCTCATTAAATAATTTTTGCCTCTATCTTGGGAGTTAACAGCTCCGTATCAAAATGTTGAAATTTGCTAAAATGAAGAAAAGCAGGCTTTACCTCCCTTACCATTACGTGTGTGGAGGATCCATATTCATATTACATTGATGTCCACCTCAGATATTCCGACTGCTTCGATTATAGTGGATCTAACAAACTCGCTTCAGTGAGAGTTATGACCAAATATGTCATCATTGTCATCTTCGAGAGCTGGAAGATACCAGCAGCTGACGATATATGTCAACACAGTATCTCAATCTGTGGAAAATTGTAGCACAGGGTGGAAAAGAGATACCAATGCAAAGCAATAATATGTGTTAGATCGTGCCATCGGTGTGGAAAGGTGATGGCCGCCGCCCAGTAAGTTTCAACGGGGCCACGCACGACTTGTTCTAACGACTTTAACATCATGGCTACTACTAATGCAGTTCCTCTCTTACGAGGGGATTCTGACCGTTTTACGCTAGTCATTAGATCACTTCTCTTAGTTAAACAGCACAGCAAAAAATTTATCCAGACTGACATATTGTGTGGAGAATTCGTGGTGGAGACTGATTATCATCAAAAATTTATTGTTCATCAATGCGGTTTTGACAGTTCTCGGTTCTTCGTATTGTCACAATATCGAAATGTCACCTCACACCGTTTTTGTATTCCCTTCTACCGATGCACTCTCTGAAGGCTTGAACGACTACGTTCAAAAGCTCTCCCGACAAGCTATCGCTAGCCACGGAAAGTTCACTGTAGCAGTGTCCGGAGGCTCTTTGCCCAAGTTGCTGTCCAAGAATCTTGCCGGCAATTCTGCCATTGACTTCTCCAAATGGCACGTTTTCTTCGCTGATGAACGTTGCGTTCCATTAGACCATGCTGACTCCAATTACCTCGAAGTTAAGCATCAGCTCTTGGACAAGCTCAATGGCAAGATCCCCGACGCCAACGTTCACACTATCAACGCTTCTATGGTGTCAGACGCCGAGAAATGCGCACAGGACTATGAGCAGCAGCTGAAGGATGTTTTCGGTTCTGACTCCACACCCGAGTTTGACTTGTTGCTTCTGGGCATGGGTTCGTAGTCTCTTCTTTCCTAGTTTGTTTGTCCGTTGCTTTACGCATGAATACGTCAATACCAGACACGTCTAACCACTACCGGCTTTTTTTTTCAACAGGTCCTGATGGTCATACTTGCTCGCTCTTCCCTGGACACCCTCTTTTGGATGAAAACAAGCGATGGGTTGCTCCTATCTTTGACTCTCCTAAGCCTCCAAAGGAACGCATTACCTTGACTTTCCCGGTCGTCAATAACGCCAAGGAAGTCGCTTTCGTCACCGCTGGTGATGGCAAGAAGGACATGGTTCAGATGATTCAAGAACAACCAGAGTTGAAATTGCCCTGTCAACGAGTCATGCCTAAGAGCGGAGAGGTGTATTGGTTTATCGATGAGCCTGCAGGCCAAAAGCTCTCCAAAACTCAAAAGTACAAGCTGTAGATTTAGATGGAAAATTGAGTTTTATTGTAGAATAAATGAGAAAACATGAGGAGTGTTATTTTTGATGTTACAGTGAAGTGTATGATATGCTGATATTTGTACAGTGAGTGAACATAATGATAGCAGGGGGAGGGGCAATTCCATAGAGCGGCGAGGATTGATTAACGATGTTTCGAGTTCCATCTTTGATTGTTCTGGGAGGTACCCCATTTTTTGGCGAGCAAACGTGTCTTTTCCGCCGTCAAGCTTCTATCTGGTGGGCATATATCGAGCAACATCTGACGACCTTCCTCGTCATCCAACTGAATGCACTTGTTGTAGGTTGTCTTCAAATCCGCCAAAGCGACAGTTCCCAGTGGTGAACCCTTACTAAAGTGAGTTCGAAGGAGATTTAGAGCGGCGTCGATATCATTACATCTATGACCAAATGAAATATTAGTTATCGGTATGTCTTTTATCTCTCCCATGACCATCACTTTTGACATACCGTGACATTGTATTGGCCATCAACAGTACAGCTGCTTTTTGATCCGCAATGGTCCAGCCGTGGTCGGCTTGACTGATAGCTTGGTCGGTTTGCTTCTTTCTAACGACTGCCTGTGCATCCTTTTCATCTTGGTGATATTGTTGTCGCATATTATCCAGCCATTCTTCTCTATCGTCCCATACCTTGTATGCGAGTTCAATGTTTTTGGTACGATAGCAGTGGTCCAGTACATGTTTAAAGGTATATCCATTGCGTGCGACGTTTAATTTTTCGAACATGTCTTGATAGATGTTCACAACCTCATCGGCTTGATGATGTGCAACATGAACGCCAAGATAGGCATTCATGATCGATGGACTTATGGCTGTGCTTTCTTGCGCACGTGAAAAGATGGCTTGAGCTTCAGCTAGCAGCTCTCGACGGTTGACAGGAAGTTGTGGGTAAAGAGGGGTTCCATCAGTCGGCACCAGTGAATTATGTGATTCTTCATTAAGTACGGAGGATTCAGCGTTTCTTTTTGGTGGGCGGTAGTTGGCATAGGTCCATAAGAGACTGCTATACGTTCTATCGTCTGGTGTTAGTTGCTGATGAGCTTCTGGCTCGCCAGTCGTCTCCAGCATCAACCTATAAATATTTCGTGCCCTTGTCAAATCCTTGTTCTTTGCACACCCATGCAGCAAAGTGTTATAGGTAATACGATCGGGCTTAAAGCCATGGACTTCTTGCATTTGATTCAGTAGATTGAATGCTTCCTGGTAATAGTCTGTGCGTAGGACGCAGGCATTAATCAACGTGTTAAACGTGACATCCGTCGGGTATAATCCACGGTTGGGCATTTCCTCAAACAAATTCAAAGCACGTTCTACTTCATCGTTCTGTGAAGGAGTTAGAGAGATGTTGTTTAAGGTCATGGTATACATCGACTCAACATACCTTGGCACAAGCGTGTATCATTAAGGTGTAAGTAACTTCATCTGGTTTGTGATATTTGAGTTGCATCTCGTCAAAAATCTCCCATGCCTTTGCAGTGTTGTTTAAACGTAGACATCCTGCAATTAATTTCGCAAAGATTGGCTAGAGTGATGGGCTGTTAGTATGGATAACGTGATAGCTGCTAGAAAGAAGCAATCTGGAGCATACCTCAGGTGGAACCAATCCAGCAGACTTCATTTTTTCAAACAGTACAAAGGCATCATCGATTCGGTTACTGTTGACAAATGACTTGACTAACGCACCAAATGTGTAGATGTCAGGGACGGCTCCCGCTGAGAATTATGAGTTAGCATAGTAGCAATCTGCAAAACCCATCTACTAAACCCTTACCTTCTCTGAGAGATTTATAGACCTTGATGGCATTTTCTGAATCGTTAACATTTGCATATGCGTCAATGACATGGTTGAATGATCTAGTAGTAGGTTGTACGCCGTATGTCTGAAAGTAGCCAATGTTCTCATATGTTAGCAATCAAATGACCATGCTATCGCATCGTGCATAGGAAACTTACCGGCATAAGCTCCAAAAGCTTTTCTGCTTCGTTATATCGATGTGTAACCGCCTATGAATAACTCATCGTTAGCCTCGTATCTTCACATTGATGCAAATGATTTGTTATCCCGTCTTACATTGGCATACAGCAACTGATCGAAATCCTTAGCCGTCATTGTTTTTTCGCTATGACCAGTAAGGGCATCTTGTTGGCCGGCTGCTTGTATGAGGCTGCTAGTTTCCGAGGAAGTTGAAGTGTCGCTTGAGCTGGCTTGTGCAATGGCTTTAGCGGCTGCTGGCCGAGTATCCAGAAACTTGACTCGCAAATTCTCGAGATAGTCAGCGCTGATTTTAGGCTGCATTACGGATTGTCTTTCGGATGCTGCAGTGAGCTCTGAGTAGATTTGCGAAAGTTCTTCTTCGGTTAGGTTATCCCCAGCTGTCGTCTTGACCTGTTGAAACTAGGTTAGTAGTAAGCTTTGAGTGTGTTCGCCAGCCATTCCGCAACTTACAGATTTTTCATTTTTAAGCTTCTCTTCAATTAGCCTTATCTCATGCTCCAGCTCTCTCGTGCGATGCTCTATGGTTTCTTTCCTGTAATACTCGTTGTCAGTGGAATAGGATTCAATAGCACTGCGTGTAGGTGAAAACATACTTTGGAAAGCGTGCAATTGCACTGGCGTGGAATCTCTTGGAAAGCAGCGGCCTTACAAGAGTGATGCTTCGGGTCAATCTAAACATTGCTGCTACTACAGTTGAATGGTCACTTCTGCCGAGATTTACAATCGATCGTTGACCTGCGGTCTTTTCAACGTCTTTCACTTTTTTCCAGGTTCGGTGCTGTGAACCGGTCACAAATTTCGAAATTGACAAAAAGGGTTCAAAAGTCACGGGACTTTCGAACACATAATTGACATAGAGCTAATCAAATAAATGCAGATTTTCCGTACTGAGTATTCTCATAGCATCGCAAGGCAAAGCTATATGCTTAGCGTATAAGCAGACAAAATCGAGGGATTCTACAAACGTGATATACCTAATAAACCATCATCTCTACACCAGCTTAGTGGTCACAATAGCAGTCACCCCTTCAATGTCCAAGAAATGGTATTACGGTACAGTTAAAGATATTACTCGTTTTCTATGAACAGTCAAGATGTATCTTGTCTTGATATAATTCGATTCTATTCTACAACTTTTCGAATATTAGACCAATATTTTTGTAACTGAACTACCAGTACAGAAGCAATTGGACTTTTACGCTTGTATAGGATTAACAGTATGATAAATGTCGTAATCAAATTGAATGCTGCGTGCCTTACTGCAGCCTGTGCACAAAGATGGTCATGATTAGTAAATGCACATCTTATCTTTCCCATTTGTCCCATGGTATTTACCTTGACAACCCACTTCCATCCATCCCAATTATTTTCATCATCGCCTTTTTGTGTTTTCCTTGCTGGTATAAGCTGCCTGGCTCGCGAGGAAGTACTGGGTGGGGGAACTCGGGGTTTGGGAACAACGTCTTTCGTTTCTGTTTCTAATAATTCAGTTTTCAATCCGTCCAAACGTCCATTCAAAGCGAGAACCTCCGACTGCAGAGATTGCAAAGCTCGTTTGGTTGCAGGGCCAAGATCAACCACGGAAATCGATGGACTCTGTGGCGTTCTCTGTACTGGTTCAGGCGCATATTGAGGAACAGTTTGGCGATTCATAGCAGTATCAACTAAGTTTGGTCTTTGACTGCCAGCTGCTGTACGCACATTAGGTAGCGACTGTATTGAGTTGCGCGGGGACGGTTTATGGATTGTTCGCATATGTCCCTTGATAAGAGCTTCACTTTGGTCGAATTCAGACATACTGGCGTCGGTGGCTCTCCTTTCATCTTCAATACTATCTTCCGAGTCGAAATCATCCCACTGCGATTGATTAGCAGGTCCGTGTGTTTGAGCCCACACCTTTGTGGCACCGGTCAAATCATCCTCGTGGACTGTATATTTATAATTTCGTAAGGGTGCGTTGACGGGTTCTCGGTCTCTCTGAGATCCTGCTGCAAGAGTAGACTGGGCTCTACGACTGGATTGATTGGAAATTACGGATCGAGCTTGGTATCGTTGTCGAAAATTGTCAGTGGTAGAGACCGAAGATTGTGATGATCGCCGTGACCGTTGTGTATGACTAACGGGATTTCGGGCTTGAGATCGCAGTTTATCCATACTAGTTGTATCCATATGCGATCGAGCGTACTTGGGTTGAGCAGACCGAGTCATCGAACCCCTGCCAACTTCGCTTATACTCCTTTCGATACTTGTACCGGGGCGATTTGACTGCATGGCTAATTCATTTCTTTGTATTTCAGCCAAATAAGCTTGCTCTTCAGCATTTTCAGAATCCGTTTCACTAAGGTCTGTTCGCACGTGTCAATATCATCTTGTCCGAACGTAACGAGATATGAACAATATCACTCTACCTTCGCTGTCATCAGATTGGTGATCAGAAACTTCATCAGGTTTCATAGATCCTAATACTTGCAAAATCTTCTTGGCATTTTCGTTTTCACCCGATTTTCTGAATGCCTGATGGAAAAAATAGTAAGAGTCAAAAAAGGAATTCCAGCTAATTCAAACAGTTTTCGACACTTACCTCGGATGCAACCTGAAGTAAAATGTTGACATACTTCTCTTTGGCTGCTAGCGGCTTGGTACCGGCTAAACTTCTCCATGAATCCCTTTTAAACAGAAGGGTTAGACCAGTGATTTTGAGAACCGGACTAAATCGTGGGAGCTGCAACGATGGTATATGAAATGAAACGTACCACTTTGCCCTGCCAATGACATCAAAAAGTCCTGGTCTAGGCGTATTCACATCGCCGTTGACTTGCTTATAGCAAGCATAAAGCTACGGGGCATGACAGCCAAGTTAGTTTCATGCAAGGGAAGGTTTACTGACATGCATAGGTACAGGCATCAGCCTGACCAATACCTGGAGCTTTTGTTCCCGTGAAGGCTGGATTCCGGACGATGCTGTTAGCTGTTGCACTATAGATAAGGCCTTCTCGTATTTGCTGCTAATCAACGCCTCATGATGAGAGGGATGGCGTGATCGATCAGGCATGTTGGAAACAATGTGCACAAGAGACGTTTCGGTTGCGGAGGTTAAGTGTGGGGCTGACCTGAATAAGTGGAGAAAACTGAAATGGGAAAAAGTCAGCCAAGCAAGAATTCTGTTTGGCCCGACATGGCATCCCCCAACACTGCACGCTCGAATCCACTGGCAAAACCAGTGCCAGGAAGCCCTCATCCTACTTCTAGTCCTCAACCAGATGACAGCCAACAACCACATTTACTCGCATTAAAGGTGATGCGACTTTCGCGGCCATCCCTAGGCACTCAAGTGACGGCTTACGTTGATCCACAAGCCAGCCCAATGTCGGCTGCGTTGACGTCGTCCAACGAGAAAAAGGATCAAGAGAAGCGGCATATGCAAAACGAACACTCCAAAATAGATATTAGGAACTTTGGCTTAGGAGAAGCGCTGGTCCTTCCATCCGCGTTTGGCAACATATACCTGGGTGAAACGTTTAGCACATATCTATGCGTCAATAACGAGTCCAAGGAGATAACGCATGAAGTCAAAATGAAGGCTGAACTCCAGACTTCTTCTCAAAGATTTAATCTGGCTGATACCAATGATGAACCCTTGGCCATCATGGAACCCGGTCAATCTAACGAGTTTACCATATCACACGAAATCAAGGAACTCGGTGTTCACATCCTTGTTTGTTCCATCCAGTACACCACAGTAGAGGGAAGATCAAGGAGTTTTCGAAAATTTTACAAGTTCCAAGTGGCCAACCCCCTAGCGGTCAAGACGAAAGTCAACAATATGATCGATGGAAAGGTGTTTTTGGAAGCACAGGTTCAAAACGTGTCCGCAAATACAATGATGTTGGAACGAATGAAATTTGAGCCTGCAGAGCATTTCCTCCACGAAGATCTCAATTTCTTCAAAGCAGAAGATAACAAGGAAAATGCCTTGCAGTCCACATTTGGGTCTCAATATTTAAATCAGCATGACGTTAGACAATATCTATATCTTTTGACACCTAAGAACGCCGAGGATGATCGAATAGCGCGAACAACTAATACTCTCGGAAAGCTGGATATCGTATGGAGAACAACGATGGGTGAAATGGGCCGACTACAGACATCTCAGCTGACGCGTAAAGTGCCAATATTAGACGATCTTCAAGTCCAAGCGTTCAATGTCCCCTCAACCCAAATCAGCGAGGACGGGCAACTTGTAAAGGGAATTCGAGCGGAGGAACCATTTTCCATTGGCATACGAATCAGCAACCATTCTGCGCAGAATATGAAGGTTGTGTTATCAGCTGTCAAAGCCAAAATGGGCTCAGTCCTTCTCAGTGGAGTTAGTACCCGACAACTGGGAGACCTGTCACCTGAACAAACCATTGAAACCAATGTTGAATTCTTCCCACTGAGCCCTGGACTACAAAAGATCGGTGGATTGAAGTTGGTAGATCTCATCACTGGCTACATTAAAGAAGTCGACCATCTTTGCGATGTGTTTGTAGAATATGACGATTAAAATTGTAATAATAATACCCTACATCCTGTTTGACTGCTGGGAGAATGCATCGGGATTTTCGTGGGACGCAATTTGGTTAGTAATATGTGAGGCGTGGAAACCAACTTCTCTAACAATGACGCCCACGGCCATTCCTTCACGCCATTTGTGGACCGACCACAGCGGATTTGAGGACTTGATGGCATGATGTAGCTCTGAATACATATGTTGAGCTCGTTATACGTAGCTTGAGGTTTATTTACATTCAAAGTCAAGCAACAGTATGGGAAATGGCGGGAAAAGGTTTTTAAAAAAAGGCTTCACACGGAATATCCGGTCGTGTCATTATTTTTTTGAGTTTTTGAGGAACCGAAACAAAAAGTCTCGATTTCCCAACCATGCTGAACCGGATTCTCCTCAAACGATCAGCTCCTTCACTCTTCTCTAACAAATTAACAATGTCTCAATCAACATCAAGAATCGCTCAAGTATCAAGACACTTGTCTTCCGCTGCTGCTGCCCTTGCACCAAAAGCAGTCGCTGGTGCCATTGACCATAAGCTTTGTATGATCCCAGGTAAGTCGAGAAAAAAAGGACAGTCGCTTCAGTTGTGTGAGCACATATCAATGAGAAATATTGGTGTTAGGTCCTATCGAGTTCCACGAGGATGTACTCAAAGCCATGGCTACCCCTGCCACCTCCCACGTTGATCCATTGTTTATCCCTATCTTTGGTGAATCCATTGAGCTCTTGCGCAAAGTCTTGATTACTGAATCCGCACAGCCTTTTGTTGTCTCGGGATCTGGTACCCTGGGATGGGACATGATGGTTAATTTGATCGAAAAGGGCGACAAGGCTTTGGTTTGCAATACAGGCTATTTTGGAGACCGATTCGGCGAATGTCTGCAAGTCTATGGTGCCGATGTCACAAACCTCAAGGCTCCTATTGGCGGACGACCTACCCTTCAAGAAATTGAAAAAGCTCTGCGAGCTGATAAGTACAAAATGATCACCGTCACCCACGTCGATACCAGTACCGGTGTTCTCTCTGATATCAAGGCCGTTGCTGAATTGACTCGACGTGTATCTCCCGACACACTTGTTGTTGTTGATGGTGTGTGCTCCGTTGGTTCCGAGGAGATTCGATTCGACGAGTGGGACCTTGATGTTGTCATCACCGGTTCTCAAAAGGGACTCGGTGTCCCTCCCGGTCTTTCTATTGTTATTGCCAGTCAGAGAGCTTTGTCCACTTTCCAAAACAGAAAGTCTCCCATTGCCAGCTATTTTAGCAACTGGCAAAGATGGTTGCCTGGTAAGTTCATGACGAATAATGGATGCATTGTATGTAATTTGGATTTAGCATTAAAACATCATGGTTTTTTTTTTCTACAGTGATGCAGGCTTATGAGTCCCGCAAGCCCTCCTATTTCGCTACCCCAGCCGTTCAATTGATCTATGCTTTGAACGCATCTCTCAAACATATTACATCTGAGCCAATGGAAGTCCGGTTCGAAAAGCACGCAAAGGCTTCTCAAGACTTCAAGCAGTTCATCACTGATATCGGTCTTAAGCAGCTTGCTGTTTCTCCTCAGGGTGCTGCCAACGGTATGACCGCTGTCTACTACCCTAAGGGCGTCCAGGGACCCGAGCTCGTTTCATCTATGGCAAAGAAGGGTGTCCAAATTGCTGGAGGTCTTCACGAGCAAATTGCTGCTCAGTACTTCCGCGTTGGGTAAGTCCACTGTTTATTCCCTGCAGGATCGTCATTATGTCAAAATAACAATGAAACTAATTGTATAATTTTAGTCACATGGGCATTTCCGTCACTGAGCCTGGCCGTAACCACATTGAAAAGGTGGTGGATGCTTTGAAGGCTTCTCTTGGTGAGCAAGGTTATGTCGCCAAATAAATCATAGACAGTTAGCACACTCCAAAGTGTCGCTTCCCTCATTGTAGAAAAGAATAAAACAATTTTAATACTGAAAAAATGATGGACTTATAGTGCTGGTTTTATGCATACGAAAGCATTTAATTTTTTGTGAAGAAGGCTATTGTGAAATGCATGTACGTAAAGCTTGCGATATACAATCGTATGATATGTGATTGATGCTTTTTGTAATTTGGTCAAGCGGAGGTGAGAGAAAATTGTGTGATTACTACAAAAAATGCTCCGTGGTGAAAGGTTGTGTTGAATTTATTTTGTTTGGCATCATACGAACCTACAAAAACTTGCAGCTTATACAAGAGTCCGTGGTGTTAGCAGCACTGTGACCATCATAATGTCACGCGCTCCATTGGCCATGCTGCGCTAGTATCCGCTATAACAATAATTCGTTCCATTGTCATAGAAACTGGTGATATTTATTTAACGCACTACATAGCAATCTAAATATCGGAAGACGTGTTGATAGCAGGGTCATTGCAAGCACTATTTCCGTTATATAGCAAGCAGGGTTGTATGGCAGACTACCCGTGCTGGCGAAAATTCGGAAATAAATTGCGTTGTGTGGGCTCTTCTGCCTGTTTACACCGACGTAAACTGTAATGAAAATAAGCTCCTTTAGCAACTGTGGAGAGTTAGTGGTTAGCACAGCGTATTATATACGCGAGGTGAAGGTGCAGGTAAAATTCGATGGAAACTCGTACTAAGCTTTTGCGCGCCAGTGGTAGGCTTTTACTTTATGCGACATACCTACGTTCTGCAAATGTATAGGCAATGCAATCTTGTACGTTGGTTGCTCAAAGCCTAAGACGTCATACGATAAAAGTGCCATTTATGGCTGCTTATTTTCGAAGACTATGAGCTGGCACTCGTTACATTTACCTCTATTCAAGAAGCAAATAACAGTCAGACTCTTGAAATACATCACGTTTCAATTGAAGTGAGATATTTTGCAGGCAGTGTGCCCTCGTAAAATATGTTTTGGTTTTGGACCTCCACTGACTTCATACTGTCTGGGGAAATTTCTTGGGCTGTCATTGGCTGGTGACTCGGCCAAATGACCACACCACGACGCACCTGCTATCACTTTTGACTCTTCCACTCTCCCATTTCAATTACATAAATGCGGGAATGGTCAAGACTTACTACCTCTACTTTATTACTATGCTTCTTCTTGTTTAACCTCTCCTATGCTCTTGAGCCCATTACTCCCATTCACCAAGACGGCTACTGTGCCATGAGAGGTCAGTGCGGCTCCAAGGGGTTCGTTCAACTTAACTGCCCGTACAATGGACCGGCAGTAGAACCAGAGACCGACTCCTTCAAGAAGTTGCTAGTGGATACTTGCGGACCAAAATACGCCGACTCTAAAGTATGTTGTGATGAAAACCAATTGGTCGACTTGGTAGACCAAGTCAAGAAGGCCGAGCGGATTATCTCCGCGTGTCCAGCGTGTTGGTCCAACTTCCTGCAGTTCTTCTGTTCGTTCACTTGCTCTCCTGATCAGTCATCGTTCGTCAATGTTACTTCAACTCAAACGTCGTCTTCCTCGGGCAAAGATATTGTAACTCAGCTCGATTTTTGGGTAGGCGATGGATTCGGAGACGACTTTTTCAACAGCTGCAAGGACATCAAGTTTGGTTCCAGTAATGGTTATGCTATGGACTTCATTGGCGGAGGAGCTGATAACTGGCATGATATGGTTAGCTATATGGGCAAGGAACGCCCACTGCTAGGAAGTCCTTTCCAGATTGACTTTCCGCCTGTCGAAAAACATACGCCGCGAGATGGTCTTGTTCGATACGACGAAGATGGACGTCACTGTAATGATACCGATACAAAGTATCGGTGCTCCTGTGTTGATTGCGAGGCAACTTGCCCCACACTTCCCCCCACTCGCGGAGAGCAACCAGCATGCTACGTTGGACTTCTCCGATGCTGGAGTTTCAGCCTGCTCTTAATTTATGTCTTTTTGGCATGTTGCATCTTGTTCGTGGCAGCTTTGAGAAATGGATGGGACCCAGAATGGCTCTCCAAACTAACCAAACGCCAATGGCTTCAGGATGGAGAACCTCGAGGAATATACGAAAGAGTTGCCTTGGCAGACCATGAGGACGACACTTTGTTGGATCCCGACCATACTCCTCGAAAGTACTGGCTTAACTCCGTCCTCCAGAATTGGTTCTTCAAACAGGGACTGTTCTGTGCGCAACACCCATGGGCAACGATTTTCAGCGGTCTAGTTATGGTCACCATTTGTTCGGCTGGTTGGTCTCGCTTCCGTGTTGAGCGTAATCCCATCAATCTCTGGGTATCCCCTGCTTCCGAGGCGTTGGCGCAAAAGCAATATTTTGACGAAAACTTTTCACCCTTCTACCGTACCGCACAACTCTTTTTGATTGACGACTCTTCGTCCGTCATCTCGTCAGATAACCTACTTTCGCTCTTCGATGTGGAGAAAGAGATCAGAAATCTGAAGTCCGAACCTAATAACTACACCTTGGACGACCTCTGCCTCAAACCTACTGGAGAAGCATGCGTCGTTCAATCCGTAACTGGTTACTGGCAAGGTGATGTCGATAACTTTGATCCTGAGTCATATGAAGAATACCTCCAAGATTGTGCTACCCAACCTTCTTTGTGCTTGCCTGACTTCCAGCAACCTTTGAAACCACAAATGATTCTAGGTGGCTACGAAAACAACCAGTACCTGTCATCTAAAGCCATGATTGTTACCTTTGTTTTAAATAACTATGTTGATGAAGAAAAGATCAAGATGGCTGAGGAATGGGAAAAGACCTTGCTCCGAAAGGTACTGACGAATTTGGATTCGCGACCGGAATGGGAAAACGTTCGAGTTAGCTACTCTACCGAGGTAATTTGAATCAGATAGCATAGCTGTAGGTCGAAAATTCGAATTAACAATTTGTTGCATCGCAGAGCTCGCTGGAAACAGAATTGAACGAGTCAAGTAATACGGATGCCCGAACCGTCATCATCAGCTACGTTGTCATGTTCATCTACGCGTCCATCGCCCTAGGACGCTTCTCTTCACTCAATGTTCGACGTATCGTCGTCGACTCCAAGTTTAGTCTGGGTGTTTGCGGCATTCTCATCGTCGTCTTTTCTGTCATGGCATCCGTTGGTATCTTTTCGTTCACAGGCAAGAAAATCACCTTGATCATTGCTGAAGTTATTCCGTTCCTGGTTTTGGCCGTTGGTGTGGACAACATCTTCATTCTCTGTCATGAGTTTGAGAGAAGAAAGCAGAATGCTGACATTGATGAAACGATTGAAGAAAGAGCTGCCAAGACATTGGGCAAAATGGGGCCAAGTATTTTGCTTAGCTCCATCAGTGAAACCCTAGCGTTTGGTCTTGGCGCCATTGTCACTATGCCTGCCGTTAGCAGCTTTGCTATCGTTGCTTCACTGGCCGTTTTCATTGATTTTATACTTCAAGTAACCTGCTTTGTCTCTTGTATGGTTCTGGACGCTCATCGTGCTGAGGTTTGTAATTTTTGATGTTGCTTGATCAAAATGATCGTTCGATGCTGACCTTGTGTACCATAGGCTGATCGCGTTGACTGCATTCCATGCATCCAAGTCTCTGCACCGCATACTGAAGAAAAGGAAGGATTGCTTCAAACTCTCACTCGAAAGTACTATACGCCATTTATTTTGAACTACAATGTTCGCTATGGCATCTGCATTATATTTTTGGGAATATTCGCGTGCAGTCTAGCGCTTCTTCCTCAACTACCACTAGGCTTGAACCAACGCATTGCGCTTCCCACTGATTCCTACTTGGTCCAATACTTTAACGACCTTGACTCGTATTTCGACGTCGGCCCACCGGTTTACTTTGTTGTCAAGGATGCGAATGTCACTGGCCGAGAAGATCAGTTGAAAGTGTGTGGAAGATTTTCTACTTGTCACGAGCATTCGCTCGCCAACATTTTGGAGCAGGAGCGTAAGCGACCATCTGTGTCGTATATAGCTGAACCAACAAGCAACTGGTTAGACGACCTTCTTCATTGGCTCAACCCAGACGTGGAATGCTGTAGACTCAAGAAGAAGAGACGTGCCCTTCAAGACAATGTCACACCAGTGAGACGGGCACCATCGAACCCACTTGCAATCAACGCTCTACCTGCCCTTTGTGGCGAATGGGATGATGAAGACGACTGTGAAGACTGCAAGCCTGATTGGTCTATTGATATGAGCTCACTTCCTGAGGGTGAAGAATTTTTGAACTACTTTGACTTGTGGATCAACCAGAACCCTAGCGAAGACTGCCCACTGGGAGGAAAAGCTGCCTATGCCGACGCCGTTGTACTTGACTCTGCTCACTCGAACATCAAAACATCTCATTTCCGATCATTCCATACACCACTTCGAACCCAAGAGGATTTCATCGCTGCTTATGCATCAGCAAGACGTATTGCCGAAGATATCAGCAAGGAACATGGCATTGAGGTTTTCCCTTACTCACTGTTCTACGTCTTCTTTGAGCAATACACCTATATTGTCAAGATGGCCCTTGAGCTGCTCGGATTGGCCATTGTGTCCATTTTCGTTGTTACTGCAGCCATTCTTGGAAGTGTTCGATCTGCTCTGATTGTCATGGTCATGGTCATCATGATCCTTGTCAATGTTGTTGGCATAATGACGTTATGGGGAGTCAGCTTGAACGCCGTCAGTTTGGTCAATCTGGTCATTTGTGTTGGTATCAGCGTTGAATTCTGCTGCCATGTTGCCCGAGCATTTTCAGCAGGCACTGGATCAAGACATGAGCGAGCCACCAAGAGCTTGGTTGATGTCGGAAGTTCCGTAAGTGTCGTATACATGCCCAATGCCTCTACCTTGAATTACGTATTTTAACCATCATTTTTATTCGGCAGGTCTTTTCTGGAATTACCTTGACTAAGTTTGCTGGTATCTTGGTATTGGCATTTACCAAATCCAAGATCTTTGAAGTGTACTATTTCCGCATGTGTGAGTGAATATGATCCTTTTCATCGTTAGAGTGGTACTTGAAACTAAATCCTTTTCACTTCTCTACTGCCAGATCTCGCCATTGTTGTTGCAGGAGCTCTTCATGGTCTCGTGCTTTTACCTGTGGTGCTTAGCATGATTGGTGGTGATGGGTTTGACCTTTCTGCCGGCTTTGACGAGGATGGTTTCGCTTGGGGTACCGGATTTTCATCGTCTGGACGTGGAAGAATCCTTTTGGTCGAAGATGAGGACGATCAACTCATAGATGACGATGGACAAGTACTAGACCAAAGAAGAGGCTAAGTCTTTAATACACTAGTCATATTGTATACCTTGTAAATGATTCAGGTGTTTCAACGACTTTTCCAATCCTTTTTTTCTGCAGTCGTCGTTGTTACTAATTCATAAATGTGCTGGATAGCTTTTGCTGTTCGGGTCAACGAATTTATTTTTTATTGTTGCTTTGCCAAAACGCTAACTTGTCATTCAAACTGGTGATCAATTGTATATTACATATGCGGGGGGGGGGGGCGTTTAAACCGAAAGTCATCCTTGCCGTTAAGTTAACTAATAATCAAATAGCTGTTGTCTACTCATGTAGCGACTTTGATGCGCTGGAATTGGTGTTTATGAGATCTGCATCCTCCAACCCAACTTGCTCTCCTTCCTCGAAAGTCGGATGTGGCGTTTCTTCCATTAAGTCAGGAAGAATGCTATCGTCGGCAAGACCTGTAACAGTATAGTTAAGCGTCGTCTGTGAGATACGAAATACAGCAGCTCCATGTCGGTATACCTACATTCTTGATGTTTTTCACTGCCATTTTCTTCCCAAGACCAGTTTCCTTGGTCTATTTTGTCGATTAGTTGCGCTTGGTCGAGCTCGATACTGTCGAAGGAGGTGGATGTCTTTCTTCTTTTCTCTTCATTAAGGATAGCTGCTTGATTTGCTCTCATAGCCTGTTTTGCAACTTCAGCGTTGGTTGGATTTGGTTTCATGGTAAAGAAAGATAGAAATAGAGAAATTTCATGCGATGGGGAAGACAAAATTTTGTTTCAAGTGTGACTTTCGGGCAAGCAACGGCGAAGACGTGGAACGACCCAAGGTATTGTATAGCCATTATTATTCAAGCTTACGATTTTGCTCCCATTCAGCGCTACCTCTTTCTGACTGCTGGCGCTGACATGTTAGAAGGCAACCGCTTTCCCATCGATATTGTAGTTCACACTGAAGTGTCTTTTGCGCGCGCACTAATTAGCGGTATTTCAATTTCTCGCAAAATGACATGATGAATATGCAAAGAGTAGAGTTCCGAAAAACCCAATACCAAATATCAAATACTTTTCGGATCCCTACAGCCATAGACGTCCATGACATCAATTCGACGTGAATCGTTGTTCCTTCAGTAAAGCGAAAGCCCAGTAACAATATGGCTGGCCTATCAACATGACCGAAGCGGAACCATCAATCAACTTAGCCAGGAAAACCCCCCCAAGTGAAATGATGCTCCCTTGTTGCGAGAAGGATTGCCAGTAGAGACGGAACTGGAGAGCAGGAAGGCATTACAGCGCTTGAATATTACGGAGTCAGAGTTGAACATTCTTGCGGATGTTTCTGTAGATATGGTGCAAGATTCAAGGATTGTATCTTTTCTAATTGTCAGCATCCAAATAAAAATGTCGTGAGATATCGAATTCGTCTGCTAAATGTACATTGTAAGGCGAATAGTATCTTTCAACAGTACTTTATCTTATTAATGCCAATTTTTTTCTAGTTCTGATGTTAAGTCTGAATCCCGACAATTTTAATGACGATGCTGAAGAAGGATGGGGAGAAGAAGATGTTCCTGTAAGCTTACCCGATGCAGATGAAGTATTTTTCGAAAGGTACATGGCGCGTTTAAGTGCAGTAAGTTAGTTTTTTACCTCAACCAAATAGTTACAATGCCAAAAGCATTCTAATATGATCATTTGACTGGAAAATTTGAAAACGACAGTTGATCTCCGAAAACAATGTCTATAAGGCCCATGGAGCGAACCTTTCTATCGCGACAGCGACTTTCATCTTGACTGTGTATTTGGCACCATGCATATGATGTAAGTAGCGTAGGCTATGATCGCTGATATATCATGAGCTAACTTTTATGATATAGGATGTGTGAATATGTGTCAGGCAATTTGGAAGCATCACATCATGAACTCTGGTATATGCTTCGCATTTGGAGTATGATGGATAGATCGTTCGATAATGCGTCCGGACGTTGAATCTCAGGTATGTATAGCGAGTTTACAAATGGATATTGAGATCAGTTTTTTAAATTCGATTGTAATATTAGAGGGGAATCGTTTAGCATCAGCACATCCCTTCGCAAGAACGAAGACCACATCCTTTCCTCCATCACCAGATTGAAGCGAAAGATAATGGGCAGGCGCTAAGTTTGATGGCCCAAACGGGAGTAAAAGAATGCTGGAAAGTAGGTTGAAGGCTCTGAAGATGCTAATAGACATGTCGAACAATCTTGCCACTATGTGTCAATACGAAGTAGCTCGAGTTGTACAATGGGTTAGGCGCAAATCGTTTGCTCTGCTTCCGTCTTACAATCCACAAAGGCACATTATGGTTTTATGTTGTATGACTTAACAAGAGAGGATGAGCCAACTTACTTGACACTGACTTGATCTTTGTAGTTATTGATCACTAAAAGTCATCGATACTGTTGAGTACCGTTCATAGTACTCAGAAGACCAGGAAAACAGATTGCAAAATGCGTCCGAAAGGCAAGGATGGCCAGAACAGTCCTAGAAGAAAAGGAAGGTATTCCCGTTCTGTCATCCTTTTAAAAAGCGAGCATAGGATGTCTTCAAGTTAGGACTATATACTACCATCAAGTATACCAATCTATATTTTAATGCTATTAATTTTAGCCATCAAGCGCAAAAATTTGAAGTATATTTCTCCTTGCATAAAGTATAAAGTATTTATGGATCAGTACACCGAAGCGAGGAGGATGTGGAGCTCACACACACCGCTAAATACTTTTGCCATGTGGAAAAAAGCCTTGGCTTAAGCTGAGTTTCCCAGTATTCAAGAATATTTAACTCAACAGACTCAGAACCGACAGGATATAAGGATTCATCCAGGTATGAGTGGAGACTGCAGATCGACAGGAAAATTCTCTTGCGGATCAACTGGTGGGTTGAACACTTGCCGTGCCTCTTCTACTTCGCTGTGTGCATTATCAATATCCACAAGACTGAACCTGGGCTGTTTGCTTTGTCGAAGTGTGTGACAATATATACTAAATGAACTAAAATGTGTTGACTTTGACTGTTCTGAACTTCGCACTGTTTCCACTGCTTATACGCAAGATCTTGCCGTGCTGCCTCATGATTATTTTAGGATAAACAGCTTGCTCTTACTTGATCCATCAATATATCGGTGTGCGAAAGTCCCGTAACTTTCGAAGCCTTTTGCCTAAAATCAGCCAATTTACTGACCTTGAAAAGAAATGTGGAAACTCACCAAACGCCGATCTTATACGGTATTGGAAGGGGTTCCGACTAAAAAGCGGATTAAAATGGTTTGCGATGTGGGATCCTCGGCGATGTTCTTCAGCCATCCACCACAATTAAATTTTCGCGCAAGACCCATAGACATGATCATAAAATATGTTTTAGGCGCATCAATTATGCTGAACATCTACATGATGCTCTCCGTCACATCCAATGATCAAATATTCCATTCATTATCCCAATCCTTAACCAACTCAAGCAGCCATTCTGTATCCCAATCTTTATCCAACGCAAGCAGTCATTCTTTATCCTTATCCAACGCAAGCAGCCATGTAGTCTCTACCTCATCCGATTACTTATTCCAACGATCCATTGGATATGCCGGCAGCGGGAACCGGATCAGAGAGAAATTAGCAAAAGCGTCCAATGGCGAAGACATCAAAATAGGCGTGTTGGGCGGTTCGATTTCCACCGGACACAAACTGGAACAAAAAGACAAAGAGGTATACCACTCTGTCATCTTCGACTGGTTCACCAACAAGTTCCCTGTCGGCCAGCACAAGCTCGTCAACGGCGCGGCGCCAGCAACAGGCTCGTCCTATTTCACATATTGCCATAGCAAACACATTCCAGACGATCTGGACATCATATTTATAGAATTTTCAATCAACGACGGCAGCATCTATCCGACAGAGCGGGGCGACGGCGACCCAGGCATCACCAAGAACATGGAGCTGCTAGTGAGAAACTTAATGCAAATGCCGAACAAGCCTGCCATCGTTTTCCTGTCATTCTTTAGCTTCAAGGTGGATTACTACTTCAACGGGCAAGAGGCGCATATGGCAATTGCCAATTACTATGACATCCCATACATATCATTCAAAAACGCATATTACGATCATCACAACCGATTTCCCAATGATGTCTACACATTATTTTCAAGCGACGAACACCATCCAAATAAAGAAGGACACCGAATGATGAGCGCGTTCGTCATCCAGTATTTGGAAAGCATACAAGGGCCGAAGGCCATCAACTCGCCTGATGCTGACATCCCGTTGCTCGACATGTGGACGACGCGGAAGCACCAGGCCAGCTTTTTTGAACTAAACCCCTTCTGCGAAACATTCATGGATAAGACCTACAAGCCATCTTCCATGGACGGCTGGTATCTGATGAACTGGAAGAAAGAAAAATATTATATCGCATCGGACACTCCAGGATCGCGGATCACATTTTCCGTCGAAGCAAGCAAAGGATCCGTCTACATGTACATCCTGAAATCGAATCAATACGACTTGGGAAATGTCTGGTGCTGGGCCGATGATGACCGGGACAGTGGCAAAGAGTTGTCTGGGCACTGGGAGATCGGTAGAAGCATCGGCCATATGATGCTGGTGTCGGACAGCCTGTCCAAAGGCAGCCACGACATCCACTGCGAAGTGCTCGACGGCGAAAAGACACATTTCAGAATAATAGCCATATTCAGCGGATGAAGCTTGTATCCATTCGTTATTTAATACTACACTAGTCCTATATGCCATAGAAAAGTTCTGCATCTAATAATGACTGATATAGTGTACGCTTTTAAAGACTTTGCATCGATTTATGAGTGAATATGCGAATATCTTTAATTTGTGGCCCTCGTTCGAGGTTGAGATTAGTTCTGAATCCTGTGCTTTTTTACCGCTCCACAAGATCGATAATATCCTTACGATAAGCTCACACCTTGAATTTAACAAATTAGTTGCAAATCAGCCTACTACGCTGCCAATTTTTCTTTGCGAATTAATATTGAGTCTTCGAAGGTCAGCAGCAAATTTGGGACAAAAATTTTTGCGGATTTGGCAGACGCGACTTCGGCAAAAAAATCTTTGTCACTACGCGCATCTCCATTTCCAGGTGTAGATTCAAAAAGCCAGCGCACATCACATGAATGGGCGACACTCGAAACCAAAAGGCTCGTAGTCAACGTGCATTTAAATCTGAACAACAGAAGTTAAGGCATTCACCTTACGAGAAGGCTGCCTGCGGGCAAGGCGTCGACGTCCAACGTGTAGCGTCCAGACCGGAGAATGGCAACGGCCAGCAGTCCTATGCAATGACCTTTACTAAAGCCACATATCTAAAGTACACGGTAAGTGGATGAATCTGGATATGGATGGTCTATATTATAGCTATTGATGAGCTTATATAATTCTATCCCAACAGGGCTATAAAGGAGAGCGGGTAGTGCAGGAGTTTGACTTTGCTTCACGAATTGTTATGGTGGGCTCTGGTAGCTCTAAGCACGAGCTTCGAAAGCTGGGTCAAATATTGAATCTTGTCAACACGGAGCTATCGTCACCTGCTATTACAGCCGAGCATCTGATGTACTGCAAGGTAATATTCCAACTGTCCAGTTCTCTGTTCAAAGCCATTGATACTAAACAAACGCCATATCAAGTCTTTTTTGTACATTGGAGACAAAAAGCAGGTCCTAGGCTGCTTAGTTGCAGAACCTATTGAATTCGCATTTGAAGTAGCTCCCTCGAGATCCAAACCGAACACCTCGGCTGTATTTTGCAGGTACGACAATTATTTATTACTCATCTCACAATGTCCAAACTTGTTATTGACACTTTCTCATATTAAAGCCCTGAGAAAGTACCGGCTTTATGTGGCATATCTCGCATATGGGTGCATCCTTGTCATCGCGGAAAAGGCATTGCTACCCGGCTGTTAAATTCTGCATGCAAGCATTTTATCTACGGGCATTCACTCGACCCATCATCCATCGCATTTTCTCAACCTACAGGTGATGGCAAAAATCTAGCCATACACTACACGCAGACCTCCAAGTTTTTAATATACCCCGATGACGCAGTGAAGATTTCCCATGTATTGTAAAGCAGTTGTAAAAAAAAAAGCCATCTTTGTATATTCCATGCTCAAATTGTAGCTAATGAAAAGAACACAATACATATCTTGAACATAAAGAGTGAGAAAACGATAACGGATGTTGTGAGTACATTGAGGAAGGTGTGACAAAGTTTGAAATGACAAAACACGAATCGTGCAAGATTAGACAGCTTTTGTTACAAATGACGAGTATTATAAGGACTGGTTGTTTTGCAGGGATTGAGAACCAAAGAAATTGATCATTCTGGTATCTGGGCCACTGCTTCCTTTGCTTCCTCCCACGATGCAAGATTCTGTGAAGCCAAAAGGCCTAAATTAACACGAGCACATGGCTAATTCATAAACATTGACGAAAACACTGACCTTTTCACAATATTTGACGTGAACCTTCGCATAAGCAATCAACATGTCTCTCAAATCTCTGATCTTTTGTCTTTGGAAGCGGTCGAGGTCAGCTTGAGTGTCGGCAGAGACGTCGACCAGTTCCTTGCGCGTAACTTGCAAAGCTTGCTCCAGCTGAAGAGATACCATTTAGCATTTACCTCTAACAAAAGTTGCACACTCTTGTCACTTACCTGAGCAACAGCATCTTTGGTCTTGCCAATCTGATTTCTTCTAGTAGCCTCTGGGTCAACGTCGATAATGCCATGTAGCGTATGACTGACTGCGCTGAAAATCTTGGTGGGTCCGCTCCATCTCTTGGATCGTTGACGTGATGCTCTCAATGCAGCTGCACCGGCTCCAGTAGGATATACCGATGCATAGGGGTTTTCAGCTTCAGGATCGACTTCAGGTTGATCGTTAGTGTTTGCGTTATCTTCATGTTCATTGGAAGTTCCCTGGTTTTGTTCTTGTTGATTGTCATCGTCATAACCTGAGCTATATGGATTTGCCTCTGTGTTCTCAAAGTGATCACCGTTGTTGTTGTTGTAGCTCGATGGTCTTCCAGAATTCATGGCCTCTTCCAGTCGCTTGGCTTCAGCCTCGATGCGAACGAGACTGTCCAAAGATAATTTCTTATTTTCCAGGGAATCAAATATCATTTCCACTTGAGCATGTTTCATATGTCTGTACTTGAGGACTTGCTTGATGGTTTGTGTGAATTGTGCGTATTCTTGAATTGGTTCTGAGAATTCAGCCTCCAAAGAGCTTATCTATTGCGGGGAATCAATATGAAATGCAAAATGATTTTTAAAAAGATGTCATTGATCATACCAATTGTCCAGTCATTGTGTACGAGGAATCAACGGCCTGTCCGACCTTTTCAATGGCGTTAGCTAATTGTCCAGTTTCGTTGAGACTGAATCCATTGTAAACTGCTCCAAGTTCGGCATAGTCGTTGGCAAGTTCTATAAACAAATATCGACTCAGTATGGAAGATACAGGTAATGGTATAGAAGGACCAACGTCAATATGACCACGACATCTTACCTCCTAAGCGTCTAATGACCCGTCGCTGTGTTTTATCGACACTGGAACTCATATGATGGGCAGCTTTATTGGTGAAAGCCTCTGACTCAACGAATCGAGAATCAGGATTTCGCAACGTGTGTGAGGCGCTTGGCATTGGGATCAAACTGGAGCTGGAGGATGAAGAGGGTTGCAGAGAGCTATCGCTTCCTTGCAAATCGCTTGTACTTCTTGGCGCAAGTGATACATGCAATGGGTTCTTGGGAAGAGTCGACAATGGTGGTGAGTGCAGAACTTCAGACTGTTATGAAATTAATTTCAAAACTCAGTATGTATCGACGACGATGACGATATTAGCATGAACAGAAAATTTTACCCAGCTGACTCCACTTTCAAGAAAACGGTGGAACACATGCTCTGAGCCAAGTTTGCCATGATTTAGAATTCTGTTCAAGAAGCTTTGCAACATTCGTTTTCGCTTTTCAATCATAACCACATCATCCTTCACGCTCTTCTGAATGGCAGCGTAGTCGGCTACAGGAAGGGAGGTTAGAACGCATGATTTCTAATGGACAGCACAAGTGGTGTTTAACATACTGATGGAATGCTTCTCCGGTATGGGAGGAACAATGACGCTTGGGTATAATCGAATAAGGGCTTTTCTCAAAGATTCAAATTCACTGTATCTTCTGCGTGTTTCTATATCCTACATGCCAAGCGTATAAAGGTAAGCGGGCCGAGTGTTATGATAAAGAAAGGGGAATGGCCTTGGCAACTTACCCCGACTCGGATATTATATGCAACGTAAGAATTGCTTCCACCGTCGGATTGTTTTTGAGCTCCAGTGATGTAAATGTAATTTCCTTGGCGGTGCAAAGCTCGATCGATGGCGCAGCCGCATTTAATAGGCTCATTCTGCTTTCTCGACTCAAAGTCGGGACCTTAGTATAGCCAAGAGACAACAGTGGTTAGGCGGAATGTGGAGCAGATTGGAGTCAGCAGGACAAGTCAAATAGAAGAGATAATATGTTGAAGTAAACTGCTTTCTTACCTGAGGCAAAGGCATTGAAATCAGCAGAGCCTTCAAAGTCTGCCATGGTGAATTGCGTGGAGTGAGTGGACGGGAAAGAGGGGCGGTGAAAACACAGTCCTCGTTGGCAGGCGAAATCACCCTAGCTGCGCATGGCCAGCCAGCCGAATTTTCACCATCCTGTTGAAATACGGCAGGCAATACTACTTTGACCCTCCTATGCTACTTCTTTATATAATCCGGTCTCTAACAGTTATACCACCACTGCCTCCCATAAATAATATATGCCCAGTGTCAAAACGTGTATTGTATCGTATGGCTTTTATATTGTAATTTTTAGCAATTTGTCTTTTATCTACTATCCTTTTTACAGCGCGTCTAATGAGCATCGCTACGTTGGCTGATGTACTCAACAGCCTGTGCAGCGCTCTTGATGTCGTCAGCTTCCTTGTCAGGAATTTCAACAGAGAATTCTTCCTCAATGGCCATGACGACTTCGACGGCGTCCAAGCTGTCGAGGCCAAGGTCGTTGGTGAAAGTGGCGTTCAAGGAGACCTATGTAAAGGAGCACGAGAGGAGAAAGAAATATTGAAAGGTGAGTAATTAGTAATGCGTCATTACGTGGGAGAGCAATTTGATAGGAAGAAAAACTTGTAATTCAAAGTAAAAGAGGACTGTCACGTTCACAAATTGCCTCCATACTTTGAAAGACAATTCGTTCAGCTGGATGCTTACCTTGGAAGGGTCAATTTTGTCGAAACCCTTGAGGATTTCCAAAATTCGGGATTCAATGTCGGAACGGTCGAGACCGGCACCTGCAGAGTAGAATCTGCCAACAGCGATGGGTGAGAGGCGAGCAGCAGGTTGAGCGACCTGGTAGGTGGCAACTCTAGAGGCGGTCTTGAAGATGGCGCTGAAAGCAGAGGTGCGAAGCATCGTAGTGTAAGATATGAAGGTGAGAAGGTGTTGAGCTTGTCCCGCTTTAAATTTGTTTTGAAATTTTGCAGGCAACGCTGACCCACGTCATCAAAATTTTCGTCCTGACTGCCTGAACTCAGCTTCTCTGCCAGTGAATGAAGTGAAATTTTATTTTCAGTGCTGCACTGAGTAAGCCAATGTAGCTATCTGAATAAAAATATTATCAATAACGGCAATGGTTCAGCAATTGCAATGTCTTTTGCCAGGTCGTATAAACGCTCTATAGAGGCAGGCTGGCAGCTATCCGATTGTCAGCGTTGGGTTTTTTCTCGCAGCTGAGTCCACAAAGCGCAATCCCGCAATATCACTCTAAATACATTCAATAACGTGTATCAAATCCCAAGACCTCTATCTGTAGAAGGCAAAACGTTCGTTCATTGTTCTTGGAAAAAAAATATACATAAAACACACTGCAATGAAAGAAAACAAGATGGCCAATAATCTACAAATTCAAATAATCCTCTTCATCGGTTTCAAAGCAAAGAAACAACCTGGTTATTGGTATCACATCCATGAATCTAACATTAACAAACTAATTAGCCAACACAGTCTACCTATCATCAACCGTTTCCTGATAAGCTGTCGAGCACATACCGTTATGTTACCGTCGAAACCAGTGGAGGCCAGCATCATCATATTGGGGTGGAATGCTAATGAATGAATGGAGCTGCCTCGCTGACCCATCCATCCTGTTGGCCGCATGGTAGATAGATTCGTTCCATTGACATTCCATACCTTAAGGGTATGATCCTCACTACCACTAGCATTATTAAACCACAGGTCAGCCTTCCTTTCTCAGAAGCTAAAGCACAAAAGAGCAACGCATATCATTCAAACTTACGTGGCAATGACAGGAGCATGGTCATGGACAGTTAATGCTGTCATATCGGTGTTCTTATGAGAGGTAATCGTTCGAAGTGAAGTTGGCAAGCGAATGTCCCAAATCTTAATATCCCCATTATAGCTGCAAGAAAATGGTCAGCATCTTGAAAGATATTATATCCTTCGACAAGGATGCAATGACAAATTTCAAGTATTTACCTTCCTGAAACAAGCTCGCGGTTACCATTTCTTTGTAGATGAACATTGGTTACCCAGGCGTTGTGTTCGGCCCATTCATGCACGACACTGTGTAGATGATGTCAGACGATACAAACTCGCTAATGTTAAATGCTTTAAATGGAAATCAACGTACGCTGAATGTGCAGGTAGTCTTCTGTCAAAGACTCTGATAGCGCCATCACCAAAACCAGCGATGAAAATATTGCCTCCGGTTTGATCACTAGTGATGCTTGTAACGCATGCCGTTGAGCGTAATGCAATATCCTACCAAAAAGTGTGAGTATATAACTCTAGCGTAGTCACAGTTTCATCCAATACTAACCGTAAGGACGAGCTCCTGTTGGGCGTCCCAAACCTTGATGACACGAGCGTCACCACCAATGAGTAATTGACCACGGTTTTGGTACCAATCGCATACCAAGCCGCTTTGCTTATTGCTGCTCTTTTCCATACCCTTGAGAGCTCTCCATGCCGTCACTAAACCTGCATCAGGTTTATCATATTCATCATACCCTTTGTATATACGTATAACGCCATCATCTGTGCGGCAAAATCGAAGACACAGGAAGATGAGCCATGTTGGAAAGGCATCATATTACAGAACAGACAGCCAAAAAAAGGATCGACATGACTTACCAGATGCTGTCAGTAACATGGCTATGTCATCTTCATTGATAAATTTCAGGTCCGTGATTCTACTGTTTCTAGGGTTGTGATTATTGATGGTACTAAGTTGTTGTGATGTTTTCCAATTCCAGATCCTGCATTCAAGATGTACATATGGTTCGTTAGCAATTATCCATGCTCAAGAAAAATAGGATGTCTAACTTACGTGATGGTGTTGTGAGTATCGGCTGAAACTAGATGGGGTTCAAATTGATGGAAAAGTAGTTTGATATTATGAGTGTCGGTACCAAAAGCACGGTACGGCTCATCCCAACGACAAACGCCTAATTAAAATGTATTAGGAACCCAATTCATGTGTATAAATATACGACATCGACTTTCACAACGTACCTGCTACATCACACATGGATTGTGCCTCATTTAAGATTTTCTCATTACGAGAGCGTCTCCATTTTCGCTGTGTATAGCTAACACTACCCGGTTCATCCGCCTCAGCAGCCCGCATTTGAGGTTCGGTAAAGTATTCACAGCTCCAGTCGTAAAAGTCGGACTTAAGGGGCAACCCATATTGCTCTTCTTCGGTTTCCGACTTTGCAATTCTCTCGATATGACTGACCGGTGGTGAATGTTGCTGCTGCTCGAGACCAGATGCCACCGAGGCGGCTTTGGCAAGTAGGCCATTTTGACTAACAATGGTCGAACCATTTGATAGCGTGTGCTGGCCAGGCGATGTGGTACCTACTGATGACGTTTCAGAACCGGAACCACCACTCAACGTTCCACTTCCGATATTATACAGTGACCGTAAAGTTTGTGCAAATGAAGCAGACCGCGTAAGTTTGGCAGGACGTCGTAAAGCGGCGGCAGACGATTTGTCCTCATGGATAGTGAAGGACTGTGATCGATCAGGGAGTAAATGTGGATTGTTGGTAATCGAAGCGGTGGTCTTATGAATCAAGGAAGAGGCGTAGTCGCTGACGGTGGAATTATGGTTTAGTAGCTTGGAGTTGACATGGTCAACGACTGTTTGTGCGGCCTGAGCAACGTCAGGATGTGGATCAACCGACAGATTGAGTAGGGCTTTCCAAATAACAGCATACACGGAATCGTGGCTGGTAGAGCTAAACATTCCATCCATGCCTTGTCTTCGGTCTACATTACGGCTTCTACCAATCTTTGCACGTTCATCAAGATGTCCAGCAGCTCTTTGTGCAGTTTCTTCTTCAACAGTTTGAGTTGCAGCAGCTACAAATTTAGCATGTCCAGATTGATGGACGATGTGTGATAGAGCGACAACGAATTCTTTGCGTACTATAGGTGATCCATCCGACATAGCAACTAATGCAGAGATGGCGACGTTGTGCTCGATGTTGACGACTTGCTCAGTCTTGTTGACATCTCCCAAAAAGGTCTCTAGTGCATACATAGCTGAAGCTCGGACCTCAGGCACCTTGTCTGTGAGAAGGCCACAAAGTCTCTCATGAGCGTTCTGGGCAATTGCACTAGCCTTGGCTTCACTGTTATTCATCCATAGCTGGCTAAGACAGAGACACACCCATTGTCGAAGTAATGGATCGGGATCCGTAACATGTTCAAGGCAAGCGTTGATAACATTGGCCCGTAAGCAGTGTTGCTGACCAACCTTGTAATTATGACAGAAAACAGAGAGGATAAAAGCGCTCATAGCACGGTGTTCAGAGACGTGTGGTATTGTGAGCATAGCATTATTGGGAGCCAAAATGTTAATGAAGTAAGCGTATCCTTCGACATGATCTTTCAGAAGGTCGCCTTGACATGTTTTATCAACGGCAAGGATGCGAGCCCATATAAAGACGAGAACAGGTTTGAGCTCAGCCGCAGGACTCTGTAAGAGCTTGAGTACATAGGGAAAGATTCCAACGGATAATGCTGCATTGACAGCCCAAGCTCCAAGATCCAAGAAACGACTAAGCAAGATAAGGGCACGTAGACGATGCACTTGACTTAGTAGAACTTGTAGTACGATAGGCAATTGCTCTGGAACTTGCTTAGTCACCGCACCTTCCGTCAGCCACACCTCGAAAGCGGTCAATTGTTCTGCAAAGAAATTGCTTCCCTGATATTGATATTGCTTTCTTCCCTTTTCCGCTGCCAACAATGCTGGTAATTGCAAAAGACACATATCTACAGCAAGATCCCAAGCTTGCCACATTGGATGGTCGTGGGTTTGTGGTAATTTGGGGACTGACATGGGTGTACATCGATGAGATCGCATAATACGTTCTGCTAATAGGAAATTGCGGAACATGGAAGCTACCATAAGATCTTGGCGGAAGAGCCTCTTAAACAATTCGGGTTGGTCTTGAAGAACACACCAAGCAATGGTATCGGTGACCGCTGTGAAGATCCAAGTTAATTCACCAAGTGGTGTTCGACGTTCTTGTGCGCGTCCAGGCAGTTTTAAAATCATATCCAAGGTAATATCGGAGGCTAACAATGGATTCTGTATAATGACCCATCTCAATGACATTTCTATAGGCGTGGTCAAACATGCGGTAAAGAGATCGGCGGGAAGATGGGGGTTCATTGGAAGCGTTTCGTTAGGACCACAGGCAGCCAGTTGAATGCAATCTCTCATATGGGATGTAGCAGTTGGTAAAGGTTGATTCGAACTAGCCAAGCGTATCGCCTCATTATCCCGTTGCTCTGCGAAGCGATTGAACGAGTAGATGATGTTTCCAGCTGAAGAGCAATCCCAGACGTAAATTACAGGTGCTCCTAACCATGATTGTAAGTCGAATAGAGATACGGGTATATACTGGGTATAGGTTTTGTTAAACACCCAAATTTCTCCGCTCGCGGTAGGCTTTGGCACACCGTGGCCGTTGTAATGGAAAAGAATACGATCCTGTTTCGCATTTCGACGCATCTGACAGCAGAGTTTTTTGGTTTCTTCCACAGATGGATCGAGTGATTGCTTGAATCGAGTTCGCATATTGATGATTTCATATTGAGATTGTAGATTTTTACCGATATTTTCTAATGCTTTCGGTGGCGGTTGCGAGAAGGGATCGATCCAACATTCCATCTTAGCGCTTGGGTTGGTCTTTACAACATCCGGCGGGTCGGTTCCGATATTAAGGCATACAATCAACAAGCCTAAGCAGATGAGAAGACATGGTCAGTTATTTTGACTGTGAACCGACCAGCTGCTTAGATAATGATAGTGATAAGCTCTTACCCCAAACAGTCTTGATTCTCTCTCTGAGCCTCTATTGTGCCAAAATCTCCTAGTTAGTGTCTGTGTCAAATGAATCAAACCGTATCCTGTAAGAACTCATAACTTTACCCAGTCTTGCAGAGGGCCAGTTGCTACCGTAGCGGTAGGTTGCCCATTGCTGTCGTGTCGCTTCTCGGTATAATACATAAAGCGGATAAGCTCTTCTTCGTAAACTTGGTCATCAAAACCATGGCGTACATTTGAAATAGGATCATTCAACGACATTGAACTGAATGTGTCTACAGCTTGGTCTGTAGCTGACGGATTTATTGGGGGTTCATTTTCCTCGTCGGGTTGCTTTCCCTCTCCACTGACTAAAGTGCTGCTTGTACTCCTTGCGTCGTCGTTGTTGGGGTCCGGCAGGGTATTTGTACCGTCTGCAGTTGTCGAAGGCATTCTATATATCGACTTTCAAAATGTAACACCGGCAAACGAGTCAATCACTCAGGGAAGAAATGCTGTAGTCCTGTTAAGCTTTGCTGGAACCACAGTCCTTCAGGCAGAATCCATTTTTTCTGCTGAGCGCAAATTTTTACAATGCAAATTGTACAAACGCCGCAATTGTAAGCGCGATCTTACTGAACTCGCAACCGTCTCAACCCTTTGAACCTACAAAATGAGTGACGACGATGACTTTATGATGGAAGACGACGAAGAGGTACTCAACATAAACATAGATACTTTATGCGACAGGAGGATTCTCTTAGAATGCTTATAAAATGTAACTTTAATGAACACAATGTAGGAATATGACTTCGACTACGAGGACGACGAGCAGGAAGAGCCCGACGTCGACTTAGAGAACAAATACTATAGCGCGAAAGGTAAATTGTTGAATTTACACAGCAAAGGTGTCCTCGGTTTTGCTTACCCAGAGTACTCGACCGTTCGTCAACCTGCATAGCTCGCAAGGAAGATGATTCAGAGGCCGCCATACAAGAGTTTCAAGATGTTGTTAACACCGAGGAGGAGAAGGGCGATTGGTGGGTAACCATATCCAAAGAGCAATGTGGAAAAATGTGGTTAATCGTAGTTTTCTGTAGGGGGTTCAAAGCTTTAAAGCAGATGGTGAAGCTCTCATTTCAGCTAGGCAGATTTGATGATGTAAGCTTATGACTATCGATACAGGGAGATAGAACAATCGTTACTAACTCCATGGCAATGCACTTTTTAATATTACTATTAGACTTTGCGATATTATGAGGAGCTGTTGACATATACCAAATCGGCTGTCACGCGCAACTACAGTGAGAAGAGTATCAACAATATCCTCGATTACGTGTCGTCGTCAGATGACATGTCCTTCATGGAAAAGTTTTATCAAACCACTCTCACTTCACTTGCTGATTCCAAAAACGATGTAAGCTTCCATAGTTACATGTGATAACTTTTGCTGATTGTCTGAACTCGTCGTGCTTCCTCTTTTACAACAGCGACTTTGGGTGAAGACCAACTTGAAGTTAGCCAAGTTATGGCTGGACCGACATGAATATTCGAGATTAAACAAGGTAACTCAGCTGCGCCATTTCCCATTATGAGAGGTAATAAGGGCTGACTATCTTCTCTTTTTTCTCCAGATTCTTCGACAACTTCATGCATCGTGCCAAAAAGATGACGGAACGGATGATCAGCGGAAAGGCACACATCTCCTGGAGATTTTCGCTCTAGAAATCCAAATGTACACTGAGACTAAGAACAAGAAAAAGTTGAAGGTTAGAATAACGCCGCCTTGGATATTTGTGGGCTGGCGCTGTTGATATTGATTACCTTTCCCGAGCAGGAAGTTTATCAGCAATGCTTGCGTGTTAAATCTGCTATTCCACATCCAAGAATTATGGGCGTAATACGAGAATGCGGTGGGAAGATGCACATGAGTGAAAGTAAGATGATTTGTAAGTGCATGCTGTTATATTGTCAAGCTCCTTACGCCTTGCTTTGACTGTTAGAATCGTGGGACCAAGCGCAGACGGATTTTTTCGAATCATTCAAAAACTATGATGAAGCCGGCAGTGCCCAAAGAATTCAGGTCTTGAAGTATGTTGATCCTGTCTTTGCATGTCTATCATGAACGGTGTTATAACGTCGGCTCTCATTGCTTGTTCTACAGATACTTGGTACTCGCCAATATGCTTACAGAATCGCAAATCAACCCGTTTGATTCTCAAGAAACAAAACCGTAAGTCAAACGCCATTGAAGCCACCAACCAAATCTATCTCGAAATTCAACAAGCAAAATTCATTGTATTCTCCTTTACTCCGTAGATACAAAAATGACCCTCAAATTGTCGCCATGACTAACCTTGTCAGCGCGTATCAGAAAAAGGAGATTAGGGAGTTTGAAAAGATTTTGAAAGGTACGAGAAGGAGTGCATCTGGTTGAACGTTGGAGAAGACGCTGACAATGTGTGCTCAACAGAGAATCATAACGCCATCATGGGTGATTCTTTCATAAGAACCTACATTGATGATGTTTTGAAGAACATTCGAACGCAAGTTCTCATTCGATTGATCAAGCCGTATACTCGCATTGAGATCCCATTTATATCTACGGTAAGTCAAGTGAACGCGATTGAACGCACGTCAACGAGCAGGCTCTCATCCAACTATAGCAATTGAACATTCCCGTGGAGGATGTCCAGGAGCTACTTGTTACCCTCATTTTGGATAAAAAGATATCCGGCCGCATTGATCAAGTCCAACAGCGATTGGAGATTCAACAAAAGTAAGCAACCTGTGTCAAACAACTTGATTTATGAAGATCAAACACTAACTATGGGATTCTTTTCATTAGATCAAGCGATACTAATCGATATGCAGCCATGAACGAATGGTCTAACAATGTGGTGAATGTGTACAAAGCAGTGCTCAACAAGGTCAACTAGCAATATACCGTATGGACGAAGGGTTCTTGTGGACTAGATGGATCGGAAACATTATTCGTTTTCTTCCTGATTCTTCCATAGAGAAAACATTGAATGTCTACAGTAATTAACTTCTGTAAATGATGTATGCCAGCTAATCCGCAAGTGACGCCTTCCGTGTAATGTATATATAAAAACAAAATAATCCAAAGTTCGGCACTAAAACCCAAAGTTATTAGATTGATTGTATCCAAGTGTATCCAATGCCTTCAACAAGTTCTCTCTAGCAGTCTTGACATCGTCGTAAGTCAATGCGCTGATAGCAAATTTAGCAAGTTTTTGAGCCTTCGCCATTTCAGCAGGTCCAAGGTTCTGCTGTGGTACGACCGTCGTTGGAATCTCCTGTCGACTTGGCGTAGGTGCAGCTACTGGTGATACTACAGGCTGGTAAGGAGCAGGAGCCGGCATGGAGATATGGAAGGTTGGAACACTAACGTCTGCAGTGTTGTTGGCATTCACTGGCGGAGAGAACGATTGGTCACCTTGAGGGAATGTTGGCGTGACTGAGGGTGGTGTATTATCAGGAACGGAAAATCCTGTCGTCGAAGGTAAATTGTCCTGTTGTGGAGAAGTAGGTGGTATGGCGGCTGTGAAATTGGATGGAGGACTAGGAAAGTGAGTTATAAATGGTTGAGATGGGTCGCTTGCTCCTGCAGAAGTAGAAGGAGGAGTAGTGTTGGAGCCAGGTACTATGTCGGTAGCTCCGGTGGGAACATCTGAACCTTCCATTGGAGTATCTTCTCCACCAGGTGGTCCAGGGACAGGTGCTCTACCCTCCTTTATCGCCTTGATAATATCAGTAGCTTTCCACTTTGCGTACTTTATCTTTCCTGCCACCTAATTTGCAGTTAGTATTCGAAACGTCTGCATAAAGACATAATAATTGTATATTTCACATACATCAGGATCAATATCTCCAAATGTCTTGAGCAGTTCTAAAAACACCGAAGCAGCAAGGAAGGTTTTGGCTGTTTTCCTGTGTATCACTGTCAGTATGGTGGACAAAACGAGTAGTAGACATTTGATGTTATCCAACTTACTTGGACGCTCTGCCTGCTCGATCTTCATTATCTGCGTTTTCAAACACCTTTAGGCCAAAGTTCTCAATATGCGCATATCCAACCAAGTCGTTTGTGATGGCCTCGTTCGCTCCAATCTGTTGTTTAGCCTGTAAATAGCAACGGTTATCATCATGGCAGGCACGGTGGTCATGATCTGCTACTACGTACGGTCTCCAGTTCATCCAGTAAAGATATCACGAACTTTTCTGTATGTTTGTTCTTGGGTCCCTTTGATAAAGCTAGTTTTGCAGCATAGTACTTTGCTATTATAAGGAGTAAATATTGGAATCAGATCTGATCTAAAGTAGGTTTATAGGTAGGCACGCTCGACACTTACCATAATATGAAACCACAGGCTCACGAGACTGGAGTTCTTGTGAACGCTGTAGGTATGGCTGAAGGTATTTGAGTTCTTCAGGTACAGATTCCATGGCAATTAGGAGATGTGGAGAATGCTTGGCTAAAGGACGAGCTCTTGGTGTTTCCAACGTCAGTGAAGGTCAGAAAATTTAAATGGCCGCAATTCGGTTTCATCATCACCTTCCCCATTTTGCTTTCAGTATTGTTTATTCAATTGGGGGTATACTACTCATACTGTCTCGCCTAACGCCGTTAAATATTTCTATATTACGTATTTTCTAAAACAAAAGATTTACGATGGTACATGGATAAGAAGAGATATAATGCATCAGTGTAATGCAGGGCGACTTGAAGTCGTGCCACTCTTAGAGAGAGGCAGTGGCCTTTGGCATGCCGGCGGTGTAGGTTTCAGTCGAGAAGTCAGCGAAGACATCGAACATACTTTCCTGCACAGCATACGATTTCATAACTGCCTCTTCATAGTGTTCATCAACCTGGGGAAGACTTTCGGCAGCAACATCAACTTTGGGAGCAACATCAGCTTGAGGAGTAGCGTCAGCTTGGCGAGTAGCATCCATGTCTACTGCAAAGAAAGTGCCCTTGATCACACCTTCGTACTCAACTTGCGGTTCACTATCTTTCATTTGCTCTTGTACTGTCACATTAGGGTCTTCAGCTGTTGGATTGACCTTGGTAGCGAGCTTCTTGGCCACTTCCTCAGTAGGGTAGTTGCAAAGAATGAGATCTCCATGGGTGTTACAGACAGTGCCTTCCGCGCACATGCGACTTGTGAGCAAGCCGTTGACGCATTCGTGATATTCAGGTGTTTCACCTCTGTTAGCACACTTCATATGGCCAGTCATACAGGGCATTCCTAATTGCGATGGTTTTGTCTCTTCAGTAATAGTAGACTCGTCAATTTCAACTGGACCTGTCTCAACAGATGCAGCCGAAGACATGGTAAACGTTTCTACTGATGCAGTTGTAGACATAGCCATTTTTTTGACTGATTCATCAGAAGCAGATGCCTCGGGTACTTCTTCTTTAGAGTGGGCACCGGGCCCTTTCTTAGCGGCCAAATCCTTCAATGTAGGACAAGTTTCAGGTTTCTTTCCGTTGATCATTTGCACAGCTTCCATAAGCTCGCCATTGTCTTGGTGAATATCCCTTTTTTGGAGGTTCATTAATAAAAAAATGTATAACACTGTTGCCTTTCATATGAGCCAAACTTACCAGGCCATCACACCGCCAATGTCAAGGCACAAGGCGAGTTCGACTTTGTGCATCAAAGAATCCTTGTCTTCGTATGAGATGTAAGTCTTTGTCATTTCGTTGAACAACCATGGAGTACTGGAGATGGGATCCCAGTGTTTGGTATAGCCTGCACCTGGCTTTCCGTCCTTGTCGAGGATGCCTTGTGATCTCAAGTTGGTGTACTTCCAAATACCAGAGAAGCCACCTTCCTCGGCGTTGCAGCTAGGGTCCTGCCAGTAAGCATCATCAGAGTCTCCCTTGGGAGCTCCTTTGACGCTGCTGACATATTGATTATCCTTCATGTCTTCAGCAGTTTTTATTGATCTTCCGTAGTAGGCAAGGCCAGCATTGATCTTTGCAGCTGGAACACCAGCATCAATCCAGTTCTTGATACCTTGAAAATGAGTACGTTAGAGGGATATTCAGTGTAACAACTCAGATCTGGAAAGAAATTCCTCTATACTTACTTGAAGCAAAAGATACTTGTTCTCCCTTACCCTCTTCATGATACAATGGAGCATTAGGTCCAGTGGTTGTGCCCCAGGCACCGTTGATGTCTAAGTTAAGGAAGGAGATGAATGATTAAGTGATTGTCCGATTTCTTTACTGCGATATCCCTGATGAGATGCATTCATACCATATGACATAATATTAATATGGTCGAAGAATGGAACAAAGTCCTTGACGCTCTCCATGTATCCCTTCTCAGTTTGGAATGGATAGACGTGTACAGCCATGGTAATTTCTTTGTGTTGCTTTGGGAATTTTTTATCCAAAGCAGCACGAAGCTCCTTCAACAAGATCAAGAAGTTGGAAGCATCATTCTTTGCATCAAATTCGTTACAGCCAGCAGCTTGGCGACCAGGGTACTCCCAATCTATTGTTCTCTCATTAGCGCAGGATTCTACAATAAGTATTGATATTACGGCAATACTTACCAATATCAACACCGTCAGTATTGTACTTTGAAATGAAGTTCAAATTCCAATCAATGAACTTCTTTCTGTTTTCTGCCTTTGCCACCATTTTAGAGAACTTGATGGAACCAGTCCATCCTCCGACAGACAACAAGACCTTGCTACCAACGGTGTGGGTATTGTTGACAAGCTTTGGTAGGGAGGACTCGACGGCCCAATCGTCAGTGAATGCAGGAACCATATCATCTTTGTTGAGAATGGCGAACGCTATACAAACGATATTTTAAGTCCTTGGCCATTGCTTTTTGTTATGATGATTTTCCGTCTCATTTGATAAACGTACCATAGTTGATGTGGGTGTATTTGTTCACTGGGATCTTTTCAACGGGATAGTTCGCATACAACCAGTTGGGGAAGTAGCTATGGTCATCAATGGGTTGAATAAATTGTCTTTAGTGACTTCAATTGCGTTGATAGAGAACCTTTCATGTTGACCTACCCGACAACCATCTTTGCAGATACCTGCGATAAAAGCCCGCAGAGGGCAATGGCACTAGTGAGTTTCATGTGTGGGATATAGAGAAGCAGAATAAGCAGAAATAGTGGATGAAGTCGACTTTGGTTTATATAACCATTTGCAAGGTTACGAACAGAATGTGGTTTGTTTTTCTAAACATAGGTTATAATTGAAACCAGAAGAGATCACACACAACCCTATGTGTACAGTCTTAAGGAATTGGTTGCTTTCAAGATCAAACATTTTGTCAACTTGTACGACTGAAACAAATTCTGATTTTATTAAAGAATGAGCTGAGAATCATATACCTCCATAAGAAACTGTGATTTTTGTCGGGTATCGCATTCCAAAAGACGCTTGATGACGACTAATTTTTTTGGCGAGACTGCGTGCGACTTTCAGCGCCATCAGTCAGCTTTATAATTTACTACAGGAATACAAGCATATCTATAAGAAACATAAGGTGCGCTGCCCTCTTTTTCTAGACGATCTACATAGACGATGGAAAACAGGTGCAATAAGCCAATTGAAGCAAAAATGTGCCAGAAAGCATGGAGCTGAGGATTGACGGGCAGCGAGGATAGCCAGTTGCAAAAATGAAGATCCACCATCCAACAGACTACGGCCAGGGCATATATGGATATACCTCTTTTGAACAAAGTCTCCAAACCTGGAATCTTGGTCTTCTTTGCTCGATAGATAGTCCAAATCATGATAATGGAGATGACTTCTAAAGACCCAAATGTACCATGAAATACATAGAATTGGTACTGACTTGCCGGAGCAACTACCATGATGGTAGCAAATATGGCATAGAGTGTAAATCCAACTGCTACCTTTGGCATTGGGCCAAATCGTGTTTCCAACATGATGAAAAATAAAGCGATTGCAGCCCAGACCATGGGCACTTCATCCTGGTGAGTCAAAATATTTAGTGGTTAATAGAATTCGATCACTTCCCGCAAACTAGGCATCATGTTTTACCATAGCTTGAGTGTATCTATTCAGTGTTGCGTGGAACAAGAAGCTGCCAATCTGTACAAGGAAAAGGTTAGTTTCGTCAGTCTACTATTCGATCCGCCCTTAAAAAAATAAAATTCACAGAAATCTCGAAATCGTTACTTTACCCCAACAGCCGTAATAAGATGAAATACAAATCGAAACTGCTTTGACGCTATCTTGTAGAATCTGATCTCTCCAAGAAGTATCATGGCGATGGAGGAAATGGAGTTCCAGAATTCCTAATAACGATAGCAACATTAATTATTGGTTGCGCATGGTCTGTCCTCACTCTGTGTACCTACAGCAATATAGGGCGAGAAAGCATAGTTTGCTTCACACCAGTCAATGGATGATTCCATAATGATGTAGATCAAAGAAGCCCTCGAGGCAAACCCCGCTCTCAAAGTAGTTTAAAGATCTCAGTTGAATGAACAAGTAACACACAATAGAGATTTTTTATTTTTTAAATTTATTGAATGAAAACCAAGTATGCTGTCACCGCATCGCCCATGATGAATGCAAGACCTTATGGTTTAGATAAGAGTCTCGTAAGCAACAGGGGTGATGGTCTCGGGGAAGTTAGCCTTGGTGGAGACATGGCGAGCCTCACGGGGTTGAACGGGAAGTCTCTTCAAGACAACCTGGACTGTAAAGCGAGATAAATGTGTGAGACAATGGAATCTTTACCATGATAATGTGTAGGCTGTCAACTTACCACCAGCCTCAGTGGCTTCCTTGCGCTTGCGAGCGTTCTCCTTGACGCGGTCCAAGAATTCTTGACGGCACTTGGAGTGCTTGACGTGCTCAACACGGATGTTGACACGCTTCTCCATATAACGGTTGCCAACACGCTTGTAGACGATGACACCGACGGCAGACTTGGTAACGTTGTAGACGATACCAGTGCGACTGAAAGAAGGCGAGAATGAGAACATGCTACGAAAACAATTGATCTCCATGATATGAGGATACCTACCCATGGTAGAACTTGTGGGGCATACCCTTTTGGACAGCGGCGTTAGCCTTGATGTCAACAATGTCACCAACCTTGTAGGTCTTAAGGTAGGTGGACAAAGGGATAGAACCATGCTCACGGAACTTGCGTGAGAACATGTGGCGGGTGCGAGCACGGACTAAGTAAAAGAATTGTAGGTGAATCAAGGGGATCAAAAAAGTAGTTGAATAGCAGCGACTGGTTCTCGATACTTACTACCGTATGAGTGAGGCATTCTAGATATCGATAGAAGCAGAGGTGAAGGAGAAGAGTGAGAGTTAGTATAGGTTGCATAACATATATATATATCAGCTTCGTTAAGCAGGATTAAAGGAATTCTCCATCTTTGCCATTGAAAAAGCAATTGTCTGGTCTGCCTTCGTCCATGCTGATTATCCTGAGATTATCCCTGAAATGATTTTTTTTCAAGGGAATGACGTTCGGATAGTGCTGGCGGAGGAGACCTGGCTTTGCTATTTCTATGAATCCTCTGGGTGAATGAATATAGGAATGGTGTAGTACCTGGGCTATACGACAACGAAAAGAGAGAGAGCAATAGTAAAAAAAATTCTGTTGCAAAGTGAACACTGTGGACAGTGGCTTAGCTCGAGACAAATGGCTTCAGCCAATGAGAATTTTTTGTTTTGGTTTCCGCTCCCAATTGAAAAATTTTGTTGCGGCTCACAACAACAAAGTTCCTTCTCTTTACCTTTTAACATGGCCGGTGCTCCCAGGAAATACTCCAAGACCTCCAAGGTCCCAAAGCGTCCCTTCGAATCTGAGCGTATTGATGCCGAATTGAAGCTCATTGGCGAGTTCGGTCTCAAGAACAAGCGTGAAGTCTGGCGTGTTGGTTACACTCTCTCCAAGATCCGTCGTGCTGCTCGTGAGCTTTTGAAGCTTGATGAGAAGGATCCCCGTCGTCTCTTCGAGGGTAACGCTCTTATCCGTCGTCTTGTTCGTATTGGTGTGCTCGATGAGTCCCGTATGAAGCTCGATTACGTCTTGGGTCTCAAGATTGAAGATTTCTTGGAGCGTCGTCTCCAGACCCAGGTCTTCAAGCTCGGTCTTGCCAAGTCTATCCACCACGCTCGTGTTCTCATCCGCCAACGTCACATCCGTGTCGGCAAGCAGATTGTCAACATCCCCTCCTTCATCGTTCGTTTGGTAAGTATTTTTTCATCAGTCTCCGTACCTGAAGACTGTAGAAAAAAAATTTTTTTTTAAATGTCAAAGACTAACCTTACACATCTCTTATAGGACTCCCAAAAGCACATCGATTTCGCTTTGACCTCCCCCTATGGTGGTGGCCGCGCTGGTCGTGTCAAGAGAAAGCGCGCCAAGTCCTCTGCTGAGGGTGGTGACGATGCCGAAGATGACGAAGAGTAAACTCTGACTCCCCCCTTCACATCATAGCCCTGGCCTTCCACTTGCATACTCTCATCCACATGTATGAACCTTTGCATTGAATAAAATCCAAAGATGTCCAAATCTGAAAAGAAATGGTTTCCTTTGAGCATTGCAAAGCACCTGTGTAAAATATTTAACACAGTATCTACATCATGGCTCATGTGGTAAGTCTGAACCTTCCACCGGTGCTCCTTTTGGAGATTTCACGCTCTCTTCCAATTTGTTTTGGTTTTGATCCAGTTGGCGTCCTGACCATCGAGTATCGTGGTGTCGACTCGAGCAGAGTAGTCTCTTCGGCGCTCGTCACTGTATTCATCAATTGGAGAGCGTCCGGCTCGGCATGAAAAAGCTGGTGGTTGGTAGTTCAGGACTTTTTGAGCGCATGTGTGCTTTGCAATTGCCCAATTGTGTTTGCCTCTTGATTAAGTTATGTATTCGTTTGAACTGCTTAATACGCATCTGAGTGAGTGAGTGAGTGAGCGTCTTGAAAAGTATATCAGTCCTTGAAAATACTGTTACAGTATAACATGTCGTAACGATTTGAGGTTTGTAGTTTGCCAGTTTTTTGTTGTTTAGTGTAGTTTTCAACTGTAGTTTTACCATACAATAAAACACTAGGAACATTGTTTAAAATCATAACGTGTGCGCTTTATAATGAAAAGATCAGGAAAAACAATAACAATGGTGGTATGGCCGCCAAATAGAATGGCTTTTTTTTGCTTCGTACTGTATGAAGGATAACTTGGGGTGATCTTCATAAATGAAGAACTTTTTTTTTTTCTTTTGTCTATGATAAAAGGCATCATCAGATCACTTCCTCTCCATCGGCTTCGTTCGCCCCTGCCATATCGTCTAATGCATCTTGTGCGATAGCCTCAACATCGATCGCTTCAGAAGATGTAGAAGCCTCGGAGGGGACAGCTTCCTGGCCTCTATCTTGCTCAGCTTCGTCCGCTGCATCTGTGGCGATATTGACATCATCGGCTACTTCGGCAGCAATCTCATCTTTAGGATCCATAAGCTGCTGGTTCTTATTCCAAAAGCTCTTGACAGCGCCTTGAAGCTTATCGCCAAACGCAATAGGTTGGTTATACATGGAATAATCAGTGTAGAACCTGCAAAAGATAGAGTTAGAAAAATCGGCCCTGTGCTCTGTTATAAATGGTAGCTCACTACTCACTGGTTGCAGTCAAAGTCCCAGGTCTTTAGCCACTTTGCATTTTCACACTTGGACTGTGTCCAAGGCTCACCGTAAGTGATAGGGATAAATTGACGGTATGCAAAGATAATGACCATGATAGCAGCCGAGGCTACCATGATGCGTCGTCGGTTCGGCATACGAATCGTGGCAAGGTCGAAAGTAACAGCAAGGGCAAGGATAGCAAAATACAAGGCGGGCATGTAATGATGCAAAAAGAGTTGACGGCCCATCAAAAAGAATGGGGTATAATGCAGCAACCATCCTATAAAGAAGAATCCAGCCGACTCATCGTAAAACTTGCGTAGGCCTCCCATCTCGATGTTAATACCTCGCTTTTCGAGGAACAGACATAGAACCTTGGACACAAGATACAATGCGATGGCTGCACTAGAGGACCAGTACACCAACGGATTACCAAGAAGGTAAATGTGGCGATGAAGCTCGCCACCACCCCAGAAGTTGATACCACGACGCAGCCATGGCCAATGCTTAAAGATGACAAACAGGGTTAGATCCCACCAAACAATCGATGATCAGATATATTGGCGTTGTAGCTTACCTGGGGTCTGGAATCATAAGGATGAGAGTCTGTGAGCCCCTTGTTGGTGTTCCACATGACTTGGTTAAGTTCGGCGAACTTGCTAAAGAATCCAGGTTTTCGGTAGTTGACTAATTCAGTATCCTCAGGCACTACGGTTGGAGTCATCGACGTATAAGCACACTTGTAAGCTCAAACCACACCACGAAATTTCCTACTTACAGTTTTCATTTTCACTTGACTCAATGTACCACATTGTTTTTGGCTTCTTTCCGTCCTTGATGCAGGTGACTTCTTGTTGACCATAGCCCCACTAGTGAATTGAGGTGTATTAGATTAGGAAAGATATTCACAACCGGTAAACCAAAGAGTGTTTTTAACTTACTTCAGGCAGCTTGACGCCATGTGAAAACAAGGCACAATTGGTATTGACATGCACAAGTTGGAATTTGGAGTTCAAGGTACGAAGTCGATGTTGTGCCTCAGGATCCCGCTTGTCGTGGTCCAAAATCTGGACCCGCCAAAAATCATTGGCATCTCCTTGGAAGTCAAGTTCGCTGGTACCATAGCAACTACAAGGATGATGCATGTTAACCCAGCTTTTTCATCTCAGAAATTTTCCATGGTTAGCAACCAGCCTACCTCACTTCGTTGTGGTAATCCACATCTGTCATAGGGGGTCGAACATCATGCGAGTGAAGTCTCTTATTGGTTGAAGTGTGTTCGATACGAACAATGTCACCGTTCTGAACCCATTCGATTTCCGTAGGATTTTGACCGTACTGCTTGGTGATTGTCCACCAGTTATTGTCATCCTTGTGAGGGTATAGAGTCAATTGTTGTTCTAAATTGAGTAATATGCTCCATTAGTAACATGCCCTTTCATAAATTGGCGTCCTTCGCTATAATTGCACGTACGTTTGCTTCCAGTAGGGTAGTTGTGGGGATGACTATGGAGGTAACCTCCATGGGTCTCGATGTGACGAATGTAAACTTTGGATCCGTAAGCAATATCGACAGGGGAGTCCACCATAGCGTGGCCGCTCAATGTTTGCTGGAATTCAGGGCTCATGAATCCATCGCCTTCACCAGTATTGGGTAGCGAAATGAAGTGAATTTCGAACATCAGCATGTAAATAACGAGGGGAAGAACAATGAGACACACAGCCCGAGCCATGAAGTGACGTATGAACTCATGAATGGGGATCCGTACGTTGGCCCAGATGTCCAAAAGACCTTTGATGGTGCTACATCCAATGGTAGCGATGGTAAACAGACCGACCCACTTGCAACTCACTGTCAATCCTAACCCGACGCCTGTCATAGCCAGCCATGTCCACCACCAGAACTGAAAAGGACTATGTATACAGGTCAATATTGCGGAAACATTTCTCCATGCAGCCAAATAGCAGATGCTTTACCGGTTCTTTTGGTTGTGGAAGTTGACCCACATAAGTATGGTGGCGGAGGTGAAGAATAGCAACGGCGGGTCGAGCAAAATAAGACGATTGTTGGCGATCAGACCATTTTCTATAGAGGATGCAATGTTAATGAAGAGTGCTTTACCCTAGTCAGCCATACAAATTTACTGTCAACTCACCATAACACACGAAGAAAGCGGCCAATAATGCAGCAGCGATAGAGTGACCTGACCCTCTAATGGTCATGTACGCCACTGGCACAACCAATAAGCCAGAAAGACCACAGAACAGTCTGATTGGAACATACGGGACTCCCGGCTCAAGATAATCTCTGTCATTTACCAAAAATAAATATGTATAGGTGTGGTGACGCATATCCAATAGCACTGTACTCACTTTCCGATATCCTTGAAATCAAAACCACCATCAAAACCGGCCAATTTGGCGGCTAATGCAATTAGCATTTTTGCTAGCTGTTGTTATAATAAAGGGGTATCCGATTTTGGTTGAAGCAGGCAGGGGGTCAGTCATCAAGAAAAGAAGTTCAACATTCCTTGAAATTAATTGACATACCGGTGGATGCACATCCATGAAGAACCTCGTTCTGATGTACTTGCTTGCGAAACCTCCAAAGTGGACTTCATCGAACCTGCCAAGCCAAGAGAATGAACGCGATTTGAAATTGAATTATTGGGAGCAGCAAAAAAAAAAAAAAAGGCAACAATAATTAGTAAATTTAGCTCGTGCACATTTTTGACAAAATGTTCGGTAGAACCACCGAATGCTTGCTTACACCACTGAAGACGGTTGCCAGATCTTCCACAATCGAATGTAACATGCCCATACAGTCAGGGCGAGAGCAATTTTGAGGTCTCGTTTTCGACTCTGTTCCTCCAATGCGGTTCTTTTTCGGGCCGCCTTCACATAGCTGTTGTCGTAATCTACTCCCAAATCCAAATCTTCGTTGTAATGTTTGTATTGGCCATTATGCCTGTTCACATCTCTTCTTCGCTGTCGAAATGAGTCGTATTTTTCGTTGGCTGAAGAATAGCTTTGAGAATAGTAGGGACCGTCTGCATCCGACGCCGAATCGGACGCTATGGTGATGTTGTGGTCCCCCTGGTAGTTTCTTACCCGGGAGTCCATTGGATGGGAAGGAGGAGAAAGTGTCGTTGGCTAAAAAAGGGCGAGCGCTTTGCGTCTGTGAGCCCTCATCGGATTGTGAAATAGATGACTTGCTAGCACAGAGCGGCGGGATGACGTCGTAGTGCCATTGGGCAGAACCACACAGGCACGTCAAAAAGGTGACTGGAGTTTATTTTTTTCTTGAACTTTCCATGTTTCGTTCTGTCATTCTGAAAGACATTCTGAAAAATCCTAGACTTGCATCACAATATAGACTCATGAGTGCTACAAAGAACGGTCAACCCGAAGAACCTATTGCAGCAACAAAGACTCCATTAGCTCTTCCTGCCACGGCTGATTCCGACTCTGTCTCCTCCGCTGAGGTCAATAGTTCTTTCAAGCTAAGTGAATTGGGTCCGGTTGGTAAAGTATCTTTGGTAAGCTCAAACTGCCTTGTTGCTTTCATACATCTCACCCATATCATCCATTGCAGTTATCAACGAAAATGGAACCATGTCTCGTATCGAAAACTGGCACGAAATGAACGATATCGAAAGAGCCAATGTCAACCGGATTCTACTGAAACGCAACAAAGCTCGGTTAGAAAAGCTCAAGAAGGAACGCGAGGGCGTGGTGGAATAGATGTGCAATCAATTATTGTATTATTGTGTACATGGCTATAGCGAAAAACCTAGATTGGATTGCGTGTGGTTTAAACAGCGACAATGGGAAAAGGAAAGTAAAATGAAATGAAATGAAGGAAAAAAACCATGGAAAAAAAAAAAAAAGAAAACAAATAAAATGGATAGAGCCCAAAAAAAGAACAAAACGTATTTAATCAAAAAGCGAAAGTTGTATTCCAAAATGTTGTATGTATGAGTGAAATGAGATGAGTGAAAGTGTTGGCGTTTCTCAAAAGCGCATCAACAGGAGCCGGTATTTCCTTTCCATTTTCTGTAAGTTTTCTTTGAAGGGATTTTGAGCAAGCCAAAAAAAAAAAAGCCGTTGAGCAAGAGATGATCATAGGTACAGTGTAAAGGGATTTCCTTCAATTGAAGCGTCGTCGAGATCGCTTAGGTTCTTGCGCTCGCTTCATGTGCTTGACTTTTTGATCTTTCAAGTAGGACATAAGGCTTTCGTAGTCAAAGACAACATTAGGATTTTGAGCATGAAGGGTTTGGAAACGTCTGAGCTTAAGATGATGACGCCTGCGTGCATTCTGGTACCATGTAGAGACTGTGCGACAGAATGATTAATGTCGGGTTATGGAAAAAACCCAAAGGGACGGTTAGATACTTACTTTGAATGGAAGTTTTGTTAGTTAGACCTGCCAACGTTGTTTTAGTTTCTTGATCGGGGAGAAGACCATTATTGGTCAAGTACCAGTTCATCAAGACACGAGTGATGTCCTTGCTGTAGTTTTTACGAGTTTTCTTTCCAGCCATAGATTGAACACGACTTGCTTTGCGCTTAGTAGGAGCTGCATCATCGTAATCGTCGCTACCGTCATCTTCATCTTCATCCTCTTCTTCAACATCTTCCTCATACTCATCTTCTTCCTCGTCTTCATCGTCTTGCTTAAAGTCACATTCAAGGTCATCGGCAGCATCGATGTCAGACAGTGATCGTTTTAGACGTGGAGTAGGGCTGGCAGGCTCAGACTCCAGGGGGCGGTGCTGGGAGGCGGTCTTGGGTGAGTTACAGGCAGAATCTTGGAGTTCCGGTAAGCTTTTAGGAGTACTTGGTAATACGTTGGCTTTTTCGAGTTCTGCTTGTTGGGCGTGCAATGTAGGGTCATAAGGATGATAAGCCATTTCATTTGTTGGCCAGATTTCTCTATGAGGCATGATGTCCATTCGAGACGGTCTCGCATTGAATTGGCCATTGAGCTGTTCAAACTTCATTTGTGTCATTGGGGACTGTGAACGATGACAGAAGTTTGCATCCATCAAGACAGGTGTAACATTCCCACTATGGTATTCCGTGGCCGTGTCAGTATCGCATAAGGATGGCAAGCCTCCTGATACGGGTGAAGCGCAAGCTGAGCTATGCATCAAAGAAGCCGGAGAAATGACCTCTACATCGTGTATAAAGTCGCATCCACTAGCATTCCAAGCAAATGTTGGGTCAAAACCTTGGTCTACAGTCGAATGCCATACATTTGCGGGGTTTGGGTAACAGGTGTCCAACGATGGAAAATAAGCATCCATGCCATGATCATTTTGTCGCAACCAAAGGAGCTGAGATTCTGACAAGGCATCAGATTTCCCAAAGCCAGTATATTCCTCTTCGAGTACAACGGTGCTATAATGCATGGAAGGAAAGGAAAGTGAAAAGAAGTGTAGAGCAAAGAAAAAAAAAGAATTATGCAGGAGGAAATATCGGGTTGTTATAAGGCATCTTTTTAATGATGTGAGCCATGGGCTAAGCACGCGGTGCGCTGGAAGGAAGGTCAGACCAGGGATCGTCTTTCTACGCCCAAAACCTGTAAAATGGCGTTCACCATCGTTGGGCCTTTGTCGTTAAAAAACTCAAATTATTATCGGATCGTAATGTCGATCCATTCTGTATCAAGTAACCCGGAGTGAAACTACCCTTGGGCTTTCCTGCGCTGTCCATTTCTTTCTCTCCACGCGCTGTATTGAGACTTGGACACGCTAACCTCTGGATTAAGTTTTGGAACCTCATGCGTTCGTCAGTATGAGCCGCAAAAAAAAAAAAATATAGGCGGTCTCATTATGGGCTGGTTAGGAAAGCACATCTGTCAGACATATGGGCTGAAAAATGTGTTTTATTTAGAGTAGTACCAACTTGCTGGTATCGTGATATTTAGCTTTACTTTACTTGAAAACAAAAGCACAACAGATTACAAAACTTTTCAGTAGAGCGAAGAGAAAAAGCCCAAAGAAATAAGCAAAACGGTGTCTGGCTGGCAAAGAACGATCACAACACAAAATATCTTATTTCCCAATCAGTCATCGCCCGTAAAAAGCATGCGTCGTACCGAACCCCTCACGCCCGCATTGTTGCAAAAAGTCCTCATGTCCGGTTGCATGCTCGTTCGGTTAAGCCATGTCGTTTCCCCCTTTGTAGCCAGCATTTCCTACTCATAACAAGCAATAAAGACATAAGCCTGCGGGGGTTTTTTAGTATTGCAGTGGAATATAATTTTAAGGGAGAGATTGCATACAAATGCTCGAGGGACAACATCAAGAGGCGCAAACCCCAATTGATAATGAGCCAGCCAGACTCACAACCTCTTCGAGATAATCCGGCAAAAATTTGTCTCTTTATTTTGGTTCCTTGGGGTTGATCATTTCCTCTTTCATTGGCGCTAAATCTAACCGTTCAAATCTTGCAGCGTCGAAGAAGGTAGCAGTCACAATCCGTCCGCCAAAGTAGCGTCCATTAAGATCATCCACGGCACGTTGTGCGGACAATGCGGATTGAAACTTTACAAAAATACGGACTGCTTGATTTGCTCCAACTTGTGATTCAGGTACCTTTTTTAAAACCAAAAACCCGAACCCCAGTGAAATACGTGAGCAATGGGGGAACAACATGCCAACCCAAAACGTCCCAACCCAACCCAACCTAACCGAATCCCCAAATAACAGGGGTTCCATTACCTCGAAAATAAGGCATCGTTCAACTTTGCCGTATTTACTACATTCATCGGCTGTCTCATGCTGTAATGTATCGTCCACTTCACCTGGCCCAACCATGTTTCTTAAAAGAACGATGGAGGTTGCTTCTGATCGTACTTTGTTTTCATCTGCTGATCCATCATAATTAACTTTCATGTCGTGGTGGTCGGATACGTCAATGTTATCGGATCGGCTATCATCCGGTTCAGGGCTTGGTGTAGACCTATACCGATTTTTTTTTTGTTAAATATGTTGTTCCCTCATCACCTCGCCCGGTCCATTGTACGACAAGGGTTATTTTCGATACAAAGAGAGATAAGCCCAAACCTTTTACGCGGCGTTACATTGGACTTTCCGCTCAATCGGGCTCGTCGCATCCAGGCGTCTTCTGCTGTTTCCTCCAAATTGATGGTCTTGATTACTGAACTAACCACGACCTTGTCTGGCTGAGCACCGGAACCTTCCGGTGCCTCTACTTTCGACGAGGTCTCAGAGCCATCTAAACTTTGCGGAGGCGCAAACATTTCTGCAAAAAGTAAACCGTGGGTTACTCCTCGAAATCCATACCTGTCCATCAATATGCTCGTGCGGCAAGATCTTACTGTTGTATCTTGACGGGCTGATCGATCGTGATCGACTTGAACTAGAAGATTCAGAAGATATAGACGGAGACCGACGTCTAATACGATGTTGTAATCTTTCTTTTTCCTCTTTCAACCTATCTTTCTGTTCCATATACATTTCGTAATCATTCGGCCGTATTGGATCGTAGTCCTCCTCCATATCAAACTCATTTGGTGCTTGCGGATCCTTTTGTTTGTGCTTCTGAATCTTTTTAGCTTTCTGTTACCCGGGGGGCAATGATTTTTTTTGGGTTACCATTGGGGGGGTCATGGGGTAGGAGGTATCGTAACACTTTACTTAAAAATCAATATTGTTACCTTTGCATTTGACTGGAGATCGGCAAACCCATTGACATCATTTAAAGATGTCTTTAACGGTATAGAATTTGGTTGAGGCGAGACATCTTTGGTAGACACTACTTGAGTTGCGGTTTGGTGTGTTTGTGCCGATATCGTCGACACTATTTTCCCCCCGACCGGAATGACGGGTTTGTGAATTTTGGGTTTGGCCAGAATTGTTGGCTTACGCATGACGGGTCGAAATTGACTATAGAGCGCCCAACCTATTCGAGCAGGAAAGGAAGTTCCCAAAATGGATGAATGTTTGAGTAAAACAAATGGAATACCTCAGGATTGATCTATGAGAAATACCACCCCAATCGACCAGCTTTGAACGAAATATACAAACGTTGCGCCCAAAGCATAAGCCTTTTGGACGCTTTCTCATGCCATGCAGAACAAGTCTCGATACCTGATGGTTTAGGCTGTTCCGAGGAAGATGTGGATGTCGCTGTTGGCGATTCATTGCTGGACGGGGTTGGCGTGGGAGCTACGGCTGCCCAACCTTTTGCGACAAGGGTATTTCCGTCTTCTTCCTTACTATTTTCGCCTTTGCTGGATTTCGGTTTCGGAAGATCGCCGTATAAGGAAAACGACATTTCAATGACAATTCCTTCTGTACAATGTGAATAGAATCAAGGTCCCGATTTTTTTGAATCGCTATGGAGCGCTCACGGTTGTCAGTGACTGTGAATTTTTCTGCCTCTGTCCATGAACCTTGGGATTTTTATTTTTTTTTTGAGCTTGGCCGAAACGTAAGACATGTCAACCACCGATTCAGTTGACCAGGAGAACAAAAAGGCTTGTTCCTCCTCCATAGATGTTGATCAGGAATTCGATCCAGCAGCCAAGTTTGGATCTCGACTTTTGACCGATCAAGACGCAGTCTTTAACTACAATGCTTGGTACGGAATTTAAACTAGGTACCCTCAGACGATCATAAGACTAATGCAAGCTTCTGCGCTTAGGGATAATGTTGAATGGGACGAAGAGCAGGAAAAGCATGCACTGTCACAAATAGAAAGACAATCAAGTAGCCCGGTTCCTGAAGAATTAAGAGGTAATATAAAGAACGATTGGCCGTGCGTTATGGATAGGAAATTGAACCCAAGACATTCCTCTGCATTAGAACAATATCATAGCAACGCCGCTAATTACTGGAACAAATTCTATCACATCAATGAAAACCGATTCTTCAAAGATCGAAATTGGTTACGGTTGGAATTTCCAGAGTTGTTCCGTACACTTGATCCAGCGGTAAATAGTTTTTTGTCACACCGCCCTACCACCAGAAATACTTATCAATTCACCTTTTCATAGGCGGGTAGTAAGAAAATCTTTGAAGTCGGTTGCGGTGCCGGTAACACCATGTTCCCGCTGCTGCAGGAGAGCAAGAACCCCGAGCTCTATGTGTATGGCGCCGACTTTTCATCAACGGCGGTGGAGGTGGTCAAATCCAGCCCTAACTACGATGAAGCTCGATGCAAGGCTTTTGTATGGGATTTGACAAGTTCAAGTATACCAGAAGACATAGAACCAGAGTCTCTTGATTTTGTCGTCCTGATTTTCGTTTTATCTGCTATTCATCCTGATACATGGAAGCAAGCTGTTGCCAATGCATATAAAGTAAGTCTCGTTTATGTGACAATCACTTACATCTTACGCTTACATCTTACGCTTCTTTAACCAATATTCCTTTTTTTTTATCAGATGTTGAAGCCAGGAGGTGTGGTGTTACTTCGTGATTATGGGCGACATGACTTGGCACAGCTGAGATTCAAGGCAGGTAGATTGCTGGACGATAATTTCTACATTCGTGGCGACGGAACGCGAGTGTACTTCTTTACGTCTGAAGAATTAGAATCCATGTTCACCGCCCCAGTTGAAGGCGGTAGCAATCCCATGTTCGAGGTGCAGCAGAATGCAGTCGACCGACGACTGATTGTCAATCGAAGCAAGAAGCTCAAGATGTACAGAGTATGGCTACAATGCAAATTTAAGAAGCTTTGAAAACGGCCAACATGCTTTTGGTTTTTTTGTAAATGGAAAAAGTTTATCGTTTGAATATCAAGACCGTTGATCGATTCATAGCAGTAATATTACATAATAAAAATGCGCAAAACAAGAAGACCCTACTGAACACCACCCTGACCTTCTTCCTTGCATGTTATTGCCTTCGGGTGATCTGTTGCTGAAGCTCTGTGGCGAAATCCGTCATGACTTCGAGCTGAGACTTGTAATTTGATTCAGTGGTAGCCAGAAGATCTTGCACCTTCAGGACCTCTGCTTGAAGTCGGCCAATTTCTTCCTCTAATACCGCTCTCTTTCCCACCTCGGCATCCATCTTCTCCTTCATACTTTGGACCACTCTATGAAATCGAATGGCTTTGCTATCTGCCATTTGGAACTGCGGATAAAATATGATTCAGTGAATGATGTCAGTATACACAATAGGCAGGTACCCTTCGCTCACCTTCTCATTTAACGCCTTGATTTTTGTTTCATACATGCTAGTCAGCTGTGCTTCTCTGGCCGCAACTTCCTCCGGCGACAAGAAGTCCTTTTTTTGTGCGGGGAGGGGAGAAGAAAAATATGAAAAAAGTATGCGTTAGCATTCACATCACCCATGTTTCCCAAAAAATCCGAAGTTCGCTTTGCCACACTTACTTCATCAATATGTGATGGTCGAGGTATATCTTGTTGCGGAATGGCGCCAGATTCTAGGGTTTGGGAACCTTCATCTGTCCCGGGGTGAGTCTTGACAACATCCTCTGTCTCAGTCGGGGCAACCAATGTTGATTCTGCTTCCTCTTCGGCTGGCGCGTCGACTCCCTGATAGACAAAGGCTTCATCTTCTTCCTCATCTTCATTCGTTGGAGCTGAGTGGTCCATCTTCGATGATGCATTCTGTTCTTCCACAGGCTCCTCTTCTGGGGTTGGAGTAGGGATATCAACTTGTATAGCTTCGTCCACCCGATCATGTGTTTCATGTTCCTCAGTTTTTAAGGCTTCGGTCTCCGCTCTAGATTGAGTGAGCTCTTCCTCTTGCACCTTAATCTGTGCTTCCAGTTCAGAAATCTCAGCCTCCAGCCGTCTGATGGTCTCTAGTTCATCTTTCTGACGGAACTTCTCATGTAAATCAGACACAACACCTTGTAGATGCGTGACTCGGCCGGTTTCCTCTTCGAGCTTTTTCTTGGCATCCTGTTTCTCTTTCTTTAGCTGATTAATTTGCTCTGCATATACAAGTTAGTTTATGCACAGCTATATTGACCCACCCCCCGTTATTTGATCGCTTACCTTCAGCCTGGCTAATCTGTTGCTTCAAATGCTCCAATTCATCTCTAAACGTGGTGATGGATATACTGAGCTCGTGTGCTAATGTGTCAGTGAGACCATTGGCAGGCTAGTCACAACTAGGGTCAGTTTCATAGCGTTTTACCACGAAACAAATCGACATCCCCTTTACCTGAGCGTTTTTCACTCCGTTGATGTACTCCTTGCATTGTTGAACAATTGTGTCCAGTTGCTGTTGAGCCTCGGCTGACAGCTTGCTCCTTATCTACGATACATTTGAACTATAAGCCCACCGTGAACACAATGTTAGCAGCCTAGTAATGAGCCATACTCACATCTTTTTGATTCAAGTTTTTGTTGGCTTCCTCTGCTTTTTCTTCCAGAAGACCGATCTTTGCAAATAAGATGGCTCGCAGAGTATCAATCTCCCCTTGTAATCGAATATCACTGTCTTTGAGCACAGCCTCATTCTTATCCAGCAAAGCCGATTTTCTAAGGAAACAAAAAATTTTAAATCAACCGGGCTCACTCACACGTTTCATATTAGCTATCGCTTACGTTGCTAGTTCCTCTTTGGTTTTTCGCAATTCAGCTTCAATGGCGGTCTTTTCCTGACGAATAGATTGCAGCCTCTGTCGGGTTTCACTTTGCTCGTTGGACACTTCTTCTTTGAGCTGTTCTGCTTGCTTTTCAAGATCAGCTATTTGTTGGTGGAGCCCGTTGACGTGCGCGGTGTAGATATGGTTGACCTCAGACATTTCCTTATGAAGCTCCTCTGGACATCGAGAAGTGGCAAATGATGAGTCTCGTAGTTCAACCTCGGACCATGCTGTTTCATCTACTCACCATTTTCTTGAATCTTATTTTGAAGATCCACAGTTGCAGCCTCTAGAGCTTGTGCGCTTTTCTCCAGCTCCTTCTTCACGGCGCCGCCAAGTAACGAGAAAGAGCTTCCTTTCTGCCCATACAGAAGAATTAGACAACGTTGGGAAACACCACACAGTTCCCTTTCCTCTTACATGATCTTTGTCTTGTACTGCTTCAATTCGTCTAGTGAGACGCTCATTATGGTATTTTAAAAGATCCACTTGCTCTTGCAGCTGGGTGGATGAAACAAAGTATCCCATCAGTACCAAGAAGTGGCTATTACATCATTCTATTGCTAAAATCCTTACCATTCGAAGCTCTTTTTCTTTCTCTTTCACATTGCCTTGAAGCGTTGCATTTGTTCCTTGCTCCTGGATTGCGAACGGAAATACGTTAGACTCCTTCGCGGATGACTGCAGTTTCTCGTAATCGTACCTTGACCACCGCCTTCTTAAGGACGGTATGTTGAGCCTTTATTCTATTTACAATTCAAGTTAGTGGCGAGTGGCTGAAGGCAGTAATTTCTACAGCAAGGACGAATGTTACCTTGAGTACTCCTGAAAGAGCCGCTGGTATTTTTGTGCAAGTTCTTCTGCTGAAGAAGTCGCGCTACCTGATGTCGTGGCATGTTAGTACAATGCATACCAGAACTTTACATTATGAAGAGGGTGTGTGCGCATAATAAGTCTGGCCACTTACTCGAGTTCATCGACGCATGCCGTGACAGCACACCTTCGCTCATAGCTAAGTGTACTCCGACAAGGCTGCTTGGACGGGCCAGATGAAAGAGCTGAAATTTCACTGTCACGCTTGGGTGTGCCGAATGTGGTATGCAACAAGATGAGTGTGTCTGGATGTTTGGAGGGTTACAAACAAAGGAAACATGTTTTTTTCCACCCATATCATTTGCCATCGTCATGCAAGTTAGTGTATTAAAAAGATATTGAGCACTTCAGCTTTATTTTTTTACAATGGCCATCGCATGATCCAGTACAAACTAATATCTCTATATAAATTGCGGAACAGCAGCGATAACCTAAAGACGGATTGACCATCCTAAAGTCGTGCTCCAGTATTTTGAAACACTTGAGGACGTTCTCTTACAAACATTTGAAGAGTGGTTGGTTCCCGCCCTGTAATTTTCTTGACCAAATCCGTCTGTCGATCGTACCGATTTTCGGAATGCAAACGAGCCATCTCACGAAGATGGTTTGATGTATGAGCCGGCAGCCTAGTACTACCAAGGACTTGTTCGATCCATTCATCAAATGGTACATCGACATACTTAATATCCTTCTCAAGTGCTTCAGAATAGGCTCCAGCGATGGCTTGGAAATCTTGTGAGACTGGGCCAGTAAGATCGTATATCTTTCCGATGTGATCTGATGGATTCGCAAGTATAACGGAAGCTACTGCAGCAACGTCTTTTGCAGCAATGGGTGAGCTTCGACTTTTGCCAAACGGTAGGCGGAGCTCAGAACTTTGAATGATAGAGTTTGCAGCCCAGCGATTAAAGAATGGACTATCCATAAAGACGGTAGGTCGAAGGTGTACTACGGGTAACCCAGACCAGTTGAAGGCTTGCTCAGACAGATAATGCAGTCGTTGCTGTCGTGAATTTGTCATTTTAGATAAGCTCATTTGGGATACAGTCATTTGTGAGATATTGACCAGCACTTCGATATTGCCCTGTTCTCGTGCTACGGCTGCCATGATGAGCGACGCTTCCAGATAATACTCGGATAAGCTCATGCCAAAGTAGATGCGAGTGCAGCCTTCAACAGCTTTAAGGACATCTATGGATTTTGTAAGGTCTCCAACGAAGATCTCAGCGCCCTTGGCTTGCAAGGCGTCTGATCGCTTGTCTTGTCTCCGCACAAAAGCGCGAACAGAATATCCTTGCGAAAGTAATGTTTCAATGATGTTGGGACCGATACCTCCGATATTTCCTGCTGCCCCGGTGACGAGAATCTTTGTGTTGCTGGTAGTGGGTTGAATGTTATTTGACATAGTATTGATTTGCCGGGAAAGGTGTGATGAAGAGTTTGGCAGGAAAGTTTCGCCGTGTTTATATAAAGCAAAACGCAAAAACCCAATGACTAATTGGATAAATCAGGCTACGAAAAATTTCACCGCTTGTAAAACTGTATGCTCCTCCGCATTAAGTTCAGGTGCTTCCATTGAAAATCCCAGTCTTCAACCATTCTTCCCGCTTTGACTTGTTTGCAACGCTTTCGCCATGTACATAATCCTAGTTCTTGTCATTATGCATGTAAAGGTCACCTTTTATGGCGAAAGTAATAAACTGGAAGCTGCGTCTGTTCAAGGGAAATTGGCGATGCTTATGATAGCAATTGATCCGAGATGAACGGTATCTTAGGGCACAGATATGGTCACTTTGTCAAAGACTAGGGTTTGGACAGCCATTGGTGATTCCAATAGCTGTTCTCTTTTGTCAGCTATGGCTGGGTTTCAATTACTGTCTGAATATGCCCTTAAATGGGCAGTGTTAGTGATCGAGGCAACCCTGATTAATCGCAATGTGAAATTCACCACATGGAGATGACCAAGTAGCATCCAAAGCAGAAGAAGTAGTGTAGGTTGCTGGTTTATTGATTTTCGCGCCAGAAGGGTTACTACGGCTGATTGAAGGAAATTACATATACTGCATGGCTCTACTATTAGACTTTACGCTGAGACTCAAAGCGACGCTATGCTAAGCTGTACACGAGTACGAGATATCGATATCGATAGAATATTTTTACACTTCTTGGCGTCTCTCAATGCCATTATGGAAAATCCGCACTGGTGGATTGTGACTATTGGTGAGTCGACGTTTCAAAACTTCAAGGCTGAGTTGGACCATAGCTAATTTTTGGTCGACCTCGTGGCGTACGGCCATCTATGACTTTGCACGCTGTTAATGACAGCCAACATGCCATACAATACTGCTAATTAGCCTTTCACTCATAGGTGTAGAAAATCTTTTAATAGAAATGACAGAATGAATGGAAAGTATCCACGTACGAGCTTTTCGCCGCCGTAGCGATGGGAATACGTGAGCGCCACGGCACACAAAATGGGCCATATATCCATTTGAGTCACGGATGAGAACTCTAATCTGCTTCATTCAAGGAGAGAAGGAGGGAGAGTAACATTTTTTCTGATGGCATGTAAATACAGAAGCCAAGCTCAGCGGGGCAGTTCGCCAGGAACCTACAGATACATCTATGCTACCTACCTAATTTGATGAAGGCAAGGCATAGTGATGTTAAGTGCCTCAATTGTACGATGGACGTCTAGATGCTTGCAGCTAAACGGCAGAAATTGCGCAAGTTTGTAGCTCCACGGACTCATCCCTTGTTTTGAACGGCCCAGACAAGTCGTTCAAACTCTAATAGGCATCCAAGGTCCGCCTCAAGAGCCATGCCGCATAGCCATGCATGGAAGACAGTTTATTCTACATGATTTTATATCCCTAGACAGTCCAAAATACTATGTTAGCAATATATCTGCATATACATACTATGTCATTCATCGCGCTATTAATTTGATCTATTGCCAACTACATAGCTCACATCAGGCGAAATGTAGGCAAAAGCGGACTTCTGGTGCACCACCCCCAACAACTTTTCTTAAAAAACTGAAATTCCGCATCCTGTCACCATTCGAATATGGCACTTGACCTAATGCACCCATCTTAGTTGAAGTCCATCTAGGCTCAGCCGACACTAACATCGTCGGGTTTTTGACTAGTCGTATGCATTCCAGTAATACCGCTTTTGATCTACCATCGGACATCTAAAATGAAACCTACCCTAACGTCACTTTGAAGGAACTTTCATTGAGTAGCCATCCCATGTCCAGTCAACCCGAACGATGTAAAGCGAATGACTTCGGTTATGTTGACCTTTCAGTCCATTTCAAATCAATGGGTGGCACATCCAGTAGGGAGGGATTGAGTTCGTGACCACGATGTCAGGTGTTTGAGAAGCAAACATGTGCAAAGAGACTGAAAACATTAAGTGAAAGCCGATATAATGGTCTGTATATACTTTGGCCCTGGCGGTCAATGGATGAAAATTCCAATGGCTCTAGTAGTTCAATGAACGTATGAACTTTTTGATATCATCACCCTGGTGTTGGCTGGACGACCTCATTCTTGGGTCATGTCTTAGAAGACTCATCGTTTGGACGGCCCTTGAAGGAAGTATGACCCACCCAATCATGTAGGAAGCCGTCTAGTCAGAACACACTCCGCTGATGCCCCACAAATTTCTCACGAATCTAAATTTGGTAGTTTCTCACACTCAATTGCTAACAGCTTATGAACCACTTCAACCTTACTTTAGTCATCTTTCATAATGACGCAAAAATCCATGGAAAGGAAACAATAGTTAGCCAGTACATGGATTCTTAAAGCATCATGCAAACAATGGGCTTTGGTTATCCGGTAAAAGGCTGTAATTGGGTAACCAAAAGGCTCATTCCGCGGCTGGACCCAGCTTTTTCTAATAATAAACGTGGCCCTCAGATTTTTTATTTGGTGAAGAAGGCCTTTATAAAGCGTGGTCCCTGTGCTGAAATTTTTACATCTCATCTTCTTTCCCTTTTCTTTACCTTTATTCCTCAATGACTATTTCTACCGAACTTGGAGCACAGCGGTTGCTGGTTCCAACCACTTTGGAGAAAACACACACCGTCAAGAATGTGAGTGGCTACAATGCCAACGTGTTTCCTGGCAAGGAGGAACAGATGGTCAGCGTCTGTGATTTCCTTTCCGGCGTAGGCTTTTTACCCAAGGATCTTGTCCAAAATGAAGTCTCTTGGTTCTATGGGTAATGTATCGATGGGTAGTGCTGCCCTTCACCACCAAATTCTTATTAACAGTGCCATTTTGCCATTAGAAACCTTGGTATTGACGATTACTACTTTGCCCTGGAAACTGTGGAGACCATTGCAAACCATATCATGGCCCTCTACGGTGCAAAGATTCTTGCATATACTCGACACGAAAGTGTGTTGGACATCAACTTGGAGAGAGAAACCGATGATGCTACGGTGTATATCCACTCGTCTAAGCCTGGTGTGTCTCAGCTCAGTGGACCCAAGTATGAAAAGAGGTAAGATGGTGACTCATTTAATGGAAAAGGGTCGGTAAGGGGGTGGTTTGATATGAAGTGAGGGGGGCTTCGCTCAAAATAATATTTGGCTGAGCGAGGCAAAGATAACGAAAATTTTAATTCCACATGCGTCCGGACCTCACAGCCATCCCTTATCATACCTTACCGGGGGGGCCATGGTACCAGAATACCTAACTAACACACTTTTTTAATTAGAATCGATGAGAAGTACCTCGATGCTAGCGTTCGTACCTTGGCGTACCGTCTCGAATCCTATCGATCCAACGGAACAGTGTCGTCAAGCATGACATCACAACTTCGTTGCTACTTTGTGACAAAGTGCCAGTTTGTCAATGAGAACCCCACACCAGAACAAGAAACTGATATCCGACAAGTGGCAGATGTTACCTTTTTGAAGAAGGCCACCGACCACACGCTTCAAGTGTACGAAGAGGTGATGAACAACGTTCTTCAAAGAACCGGCCCTGTTATAGAGATGTACCAAGTCGAGGGTAGTCGCGAACATAGACTGGTCATTGGTTATAGACAGCGAAGTACCCAAAACTTCTTCTCTGCTATGTCTGATTTATACCATTACTACAATCTGTATTCTACTCGCAAGTATGTCGGTAAGTCACAGCCTCTTCTCCCATTTTTCTTATCGTGCCGATCTTTACTCAAAAACTAACTTTGACATGCAGAACAATTTTCCAATGGCGTTACCATCATGAGCTTGTATTTGAATCCTGTTCCCAATGCCCGTGGCTTCCCTATCGAACACTCCATTCACCAAGTCATTAAGGAAACTTCCTTGATCTACTGCTTGCCAAATACTCCTTTGCAATCCTTCTTCCAAAGCAACCAATTGTCCGTTCAAGAGACCGTGTACGGCTATGTATGCTGGATTTTCTGTCAACATTTCCTCAACCGCTTGGGTTCGGAGTACTTGGCTCTTACTACTATTCTTGATCGCACCAACCCCATCCATGAAGAGGTGCTTAACAAGATGAAGAAGCGCTTGCGTCAAGAGACTTTCACTCGTGAATATATCTTGGATATCATTTCTCAGTATCCCGAATTAATCAAGCTCTTGTATGCCAATTTTGCTACTGTCCACTACGTCAACCAACGTGAGGCTACTCTCCAACCTACTCTTTCTTATCAACGCTTGAGCACCCAAGAAATCTTGACGGAAGATCAACTTCGTGACAAGATTAAGCATACCACCTCCAATGCGCACGAACAAATGGTCCTGGAATCCTTCCTTGTGTTCAACAAGCATGTTCTCAAGACCAACTTCTATCAATCCACCAAGGTTGCTCTCTCCTTCCGCATGGATCCCAGCTTTTTGCCTGAGATCGAGTACCCTAACAAGGTATATGGTATGTTCCTGGTTGTCGGTTCAGAGTTCCGAGGTTTCCACGTGCGTTTCCGAGATGTGGCCCGAGGCGGTATTCGTATTATCAAGTCCCGCAACACTGAAGCCTATTCCATCAACCAACGTACCTTGTTTGATGAAAATTACGCACTTGCTGCCACCCAGCAACGCAAGAACAAGGATATTCCTGAAGGTGGTTCCAAGGGTACCATTCTCCTTGACATGGATCAGCAAGACAAGCCTCGCGTTGCCTTTGAGAAGTATGTCGATTCCGTTTTGGATCTGTTGATCATTGGAAAGACTCCTGGTATCAAGGAAACCTTGGTCGACCGTTATAAGAAGCCTGAGATTCTCTTCTTTGGCCCTGATGAAGGTACTGCCGACTATATGGACTGGGCTTCTGCACACGCTCGTCGTCGCAATGCCAGCTTCTGGAAGGCCTTCACTACCGGAAAGAGCCAAAGCCTTGGTGGTATCCCCCACGATCTCTTTGGTATGACCACCCGCTCTGTCCACCAATATGTCTTGGGTATCTATCGCAAGCTCGGTCTTCAGGAGGAGGAATGTACCAAGTTGCAGACCGGTGGTCCAGATGGAGATTTGGGATCCAATGAAATCAAGATTTCCAAAGATAAGACCACTGCTATTGTCGATGGCTCTGGTGTCCTCTATGACGAAGAAGGTATTGATCGTGAGGAGTTGACCCGACTTGCCAACGCTCGTCTCATGATCAGCAACTTCAACCCTGAAAAGCTCAGCAGTAAGGGATTCAAGGTCCTTGTCGATGAAAACAATGTCAAGTTGCCTAACGGTATGGTCGTTGATAACGGTTTGCAATTCCGAAATACTTTCCATGTCAATGAACTCTCATCTGCCATGATCTTTGTGCCTTGTGGTGGCCGACCCGAATCTGTTGATCTCGGTAATGTTACCAAGTTGTTGGATCAAGATGGCGTTCCCCGATTCAAGTATGTTGTTGAAGGTGCCAACTTGTTCTTCACTCAAGAAGCTCGTCTTCGTCTGGAAAAGAACGGTGTCGTCATCTTTAAGGATGCTTCTGCCAACAAGGGTGGTGTCACCTCATCCTCCCTTGAAGTCCTTGCTGCCTTGGCTTTCAACAACGAAGAGTTTGAAGAGCACATGTGTGTCCGTGATGGAAAGGTCCCTGCTTTCTATGAAGCCTATGTTAAGGAAGTGCAAGAAATCATTGAGCGCAACGCTGCTCTTGAATTTGAGGCTTTGTGGCGAGAACACAACATCAGCAAGGCCCCTCTCTCTATTCTCTCTGATGATTTGTCTATTGCCATCGTTCAACTCAATGAACAACTCCAACATAACTCATTATGGAACAACATTGAGCTCCGTCGCATTGTCCTTGAAGCAGCTTTCCCCAACCTTCTTTTGAAGCAACTTGGTTTGGAGACTCTTTTGCAACGTGTGCCTGAAAGTTATGTCCGTGCTATCTTTGGTGCTTCCTTGGCATCTCAGTTCGTCTACAAGTACGGCCCCAACCCAAGTCAATTTGCCTTCTTTGAGTTCATGAACAGCTTTACTTCCACCAAGAACTAATGCATCTGCGCCATTGTCACTATACACACATTTCCTACCTCTTCCGCTTACACTGTAAAAAAAAAAGTCCGTCAATCAATTTTAAATCTCATCATCCACTCCTCACTGCAATAAACATTTTTGCACCATGTTTTATTTTTTTACCGAGAAGTTTCGTCTTAATTTATTGAAGAAAAATCTTTCAATCGATGGTCATTGATACTGGTTGGCTTGTTGGATTTTGGGATCGGTGGTTGCGTGAGGGTTGAGCGAACGAGATCTTCCATTTGTTGATGGATGTGACGTTTCTGAGGCTGCGGGGCATTTGGCAGCAAAAATTTCAGGGCCCACAAAAAAGTCATAAACTTCAACACCTTCATCATCTAGAGATCATGGTTGACGCTAAATCTGTTAAGGAAGCTAACCGAAAGGCTTTCCTCGATGTATTCCCCGAATTGGCCAACGAAGTCCTCGATGAGCTTCGCAAATACAACATGCCCGAGGATGCTTACGAATGGACTAAGCAGGTACGTCTTCATCCTGTCAAATCCAGATGAGCTTAACTTTGTTATTGTACGTCCATCACAAAATGGCTGATTATCCTTCCTTGCCTTTAGAACTTGGAGTACAACGTTCCCGGAGGTACAACGTCTTATTGGATTGACTGGCGTGACCATCCCACTGTCGTGCCTTGACTAATCTTACTTTTGACGTTTCATCAGGAAAACTCAACCGCGGTCTGTCTGTTGTCGACACTCTTTACATTCTCAAGGGTGATGCTGCCACTGAGGAAGAGCTTCACAAGGCTAGAATTTTGGGCTGGCTCGTTGAGTTCGTAAGTGGAACAACACTCGGTGCCTCGATTGTCTCGATTTATATCTCACGCGTCTCGTTTTAGTTGCAAGCCTACTTCCTTGTTGCTGACGATATGATGGATGCCTCTATCACTCGTCGCGGTCAACCCTGCTGGTACCGCAAGGACGGTGTCGGAACCATCGCCATCAACGACTCTTTCATTTTGGAATCCTGCATTTTCCTCTTCTTGAAGAAGTACTTCAAGGGCACCAGCTACTACATTGATCTGGTTGAACTCTTCCATGATGTGAGAATGCGTTCTTTTACGTGATGCAGATGCTTTACATAGGCCTAGTGTTGACATTTGTTTCGTGCAAATTTAGGTCAGCTTCCAGACTCAGTTGGGTCAGCTTTGCGACTTGATCACTGCTCCTGAGGACAAGGTCGATCTCAGCAAGTTCTCTCCCCAAAAGTGAGTGTTGGATCAGATCAGGCCAAAAAACCAAACCAGATCAAATATGTGAAAGCTAACACTGTGACGTTCTTCATCTCACCTTAGGCATCAGTTCATTGTCATCTACAAGACTGCTTACTACTCCTTCTACCTTCCCGTCGTCCTTGCTTTGCACATGGTGAGTTAGACATATACTACAATATGTAATCACACTTACTGAACAATGACTGACATTTTTATTTCATTAGGCTGGCGTCCACAGTGAGGAAGCCTTCAAGCAATGCCACGATATCTTGATTCCTCTCGGCGAGTACTTCCAGGTTCAGGATGACTACCTTGATTGCTATGGTGACCCTGCCTTCATTGGCAAGATCGGCACTGATATCCAAGATAACAAGTGCTCATGGCTCATCAACCAGGCTCTCGTCATCGCCAGCCCTGAACAGCGCAAGGTTCTTGATGTAAGCACCCATTACCTCTGTCCTTCCCACTAAATTTCCAACATACTAATCCGCAATCTCATTACCTTAGGAAAACTATGGCAAGAAGGATGCTGAGGCTGAAGCTAAGGTTAAGCAATTGTATTTGGACTTGAACATTGAACAAATCTACAAGAACTATGAAAACAAGAGCTACACTGAATTGAGAACTTTGATTGACCAAGTTGATGAATCCACCGGTGTCAAGAAGCAGGTGTTCATTGAGTTCATGGACAAGATCTACAAGAGAACCAAATAAACTAGAGTGCTGCAAGCAATTTAAAAATTAAGCTTTATCTAGCTGATATCATTCACTTTGACCTTTCTGTACGGTAGCTCTAATATAAAATAAAATAAAATCAAACCGAAGTTGTGTGCATGAGAAGGATGTAGAAGGTCGCTATTCTTCGGCAGCCCGCCAGCCGAAAGCGAGATCCAAACTCCGTCCAGGCCAAATGTTTTTAGCTGTAATTCAATGAGCCCATAACCACAAAAAAAAAGACCGTCCAAACTTTTTTTTTATAAACTACCTTTGACATTGTCTTTACCATGGAACAACAAATAGTTGAGGTGAAGTTCAGGACGAAAGAGGATCAAGCAAGGCGACGATGCTCTATATCATACTGATCCCGGATTCTCTTTTTACAGCTGATCGATTTCTTGCACGAACCAAAATTAGAGGTATGAATGAATTCATGGATGAATCCCCGGACTACATTGGACCGATCGCCGCATAGACACTAACGAACTATGAACAGGTTCGAGCTATTGCTTTGCACCATCTTACTGGCTTCACGCACCAAAATTCAGGATACCAAGCGCTCATTTTGAGCAAGCGCCAAACTGTCATTCCTGACCTCAAGGCCCTTTGCAGAGAGGATCCCGTATGTATACTGTGTAATACCGAGACGAGCTAGTGGTTTCGAGAACAGATAATTAACATCTGTTGGTATCCTAGATCACTGCCCATGACGCTTTGAAGTCCCTCATTAATTTGTCTGGCGACCCTCGAACTCTCCCCGACCTTGATGATGACAAATTCATCAAGCACATTTGCCTTCTAATCACCGTAAGCGTCCCTTTCATATTGCCCCCCGTGTAGCGTACTTCACACTCTAATCAGCCAATCACTTGTCTCTTACCAGATTCCAAAATCTATCTTGGCCGATGTTGCTTGCATGCTGTTGTCCAACATGACCAAGTACGAGCCCATCTGTGTCAAATTAATAGACGCAAAGGTCACGCCTTTGGAGGGCCTTTCCGAGTCAACACGTTTGATGGATCAGCTCGTTGAGGCATTCCATAAGGGAGTGGGTAAGAATTACAACCCACAAGCTGAATTCCATTTCTTGGCTAGTGTCTTTGCCAACGCTTCTTCAGTGAGTTGAACAGGCATGTGTGGGGGCATAGGGAGATTCGTCGTACTGATAAATTGCTATTAGATCCGTCATGGTCGAGTTTATTTCGTTGAGAAGGCTAGTCACGATAATCTAGCTCCCGTCACCAAAGTTCAAATCTTCAGCGAAGACAAGAGCGTTATCCGAAGAGGAGGTGCTATCTCTACCATGAAGTAAGAGTCGTATTTTTTGAATTTGGATGTTCCTGAAGGATACGTCCGCTGACATTTTGTGGTTTAGGAACTGCTGCTTTGAAACTAGAAAGCATGATGAAATATTGGATGTCGAAGGTACCAACATGTTGCCTTTCATCCTCTTGCCTTTGTGTGGCAACGAAGAGTATGACATGGATGTGAGTATGGCTATTATGGCATTGAGTGGTCTACTAGGGCGATCGTACTCATACGTTTTGGATATGTTTAGGAATTCGAGAAGTTTCCCGAGGAGATCCAATTGTTGGATGATGACAAGGTAATTTATTTGTTCATCTACAAACGATGGTTTGGCCACACTCTAGAAGCCTCAGCTCACACCGCCTACCCACTCTTATTTAGACTCGAGAAGCGGATCCATTGCTGCGATTGATGTTGTGCGAATCAATTCTTTTGCTTACCACTACCCGGAACGGCAGAGATTATTTGCGCGAAAAGCAGGTATACCGTGTCATTCAGCGTCTCCATGCATCGGAAAATGACGACAAGGTCTCGGACAAGTGCCAGGATATTGTTGACATGCTCATGCGTGACGAAGGAGACGAGAAGATCGTAGAGATCAACGAGCATCCAGACCAAGCTCCAGCTGTAGAAGATGAAGACGAGGATCTTGCCATTGAAGAAATTGCATAAACGGATGAAAAGTATGGCCAATTGGTCCCCCACGCTGTTATAGACAAATAAAATTGATTGTATTTTTATTCAATATGGTGGTCTCATTTGATATTCTACATTTCTGCTTCATAAACAGATGAGCCCTACAAAAGATGACATGCAACTGGGACATGAAAGGCGTTGTTTTGCCTCTCATAAGGTTTGTGATGAGTATCACCAATACTTCAGATTTAGATCCCCAAAATTTTTGACTTGATTTTGTGCATGGTGAAAACAGTACTTGAATTTAGCATATGAGATACTGTTGAAGAACAGTATGTTGATTAGATCAATCTACATAGCGGCTGAGGTATGGAAGTTCTTGCTTCAAAGTTTCTTCGGCTCGGAGCGTCAAAGACGAGTCAAGTGATACCTTTGCTGTCGCACAGAAGCTAATTGTCATTAAATCTGCTGCGCACCAAAACTGCAAACTCTCTTTCTCTCTCTCTTTTTTCTTTTTTCGTACCATGTCTTCTGGCACTGAGAGGGAAATAAGTCAAAATCAGGTTACGGGAAATGGTCAGTCGATGTGCGATAGCTCCAATCAGGTTGGCAGTGATACCAAAGGCGAAAGTGATATGTACAGTCGTGGGATCAACATATTACTACAACTTAATGCCAACGGTGGATGGAAAAATACTGATTACGTGGCTGCACTGCACTTGCCTGCGCAGAGCCAAAATGAAGAAGTAGAAGACTGGCTGATGGAGCACAGCACAGTTGTTGGTACACAACATGACAAGGCAGAAACAGAACTTCACCTGGCTGCAAGGAATGGACAATATGAGAAAGTAGACTTTCTGATCAGTCATGGTGCGGCTGTTAATGCACAAAACAAATTTTCAGATACTGCACTTCACATGGCTGCGAAGGGAGGACATAAAGAAGTAGTAGACTTGTTGCTCAACCATGGCGCGGCTATAGACGAAATAAATGAAGCTTCATATACTGCACTTCACTTGGCTACAGAGGAAGGATATGGTGAAATAGTTAGCTTGCTCCTCCACCACCGAGCTAATACTCGTTTAGAAGGTTTAGACTATGAAACTGCACTCGATATAGCTGCTATGAAAGGACATCATGAAATAGTAGATTTGCTGATCAAGCACGGCGCGGCTGTTGACGCTGAAAATTACAACGGACAAACTGCACTTCACTTGGCTGCAGAGAGAGGGCATAAAGAAGTAACAGGCTTGCTGCTCCACCATCAGGCGTCTGTTGATGTACAAGATAACGATACAAATACTCCACTCCACTTGGCTGCAGGGATAGGACACACAGAAGTAGTAAACTTGCTGCTCCACCATCGAGCTACTGTTGATTTTAAGGATCGCTATTCAAACACTGCACTTCATAATGCTGCAAGAAACGGACATAAAGAAGTGGTAGAGCTGCTGATCAAGCGTGGCGCGGCTGTTGACTTGCAAAATGGAGGGTTGGATACTGCACTAAATTTGGCAGCAGAGAAAGGACACACAGAAGTAGTAAGCCTGCTGCTCCAACATCGAGCTATTGTTGATTTTAAGGATCTCCATTCAAACACTGCGCTTCACAAGGCTGCAAAAAAAGGACATAAGGAAGTAGTAGAGCTGCTGTTAAGCCATGGAGCGACGGTTGACTTGCAAGATAAACTTTTAAACACTTCACTTCATTTGGCTGCAACCAACGGACATAACGAAATAGTAGAGCTGCTGGTCAAGCGTGGCGCGGCTGTTGACTTGAAAAATAAAGGATTGGATACTGCACTTCACTTGGCTGCAGAAAAAGGCCATAAAGAAGTAGTAGGCTTGCTGCTTCATTATCAAGCTACTGTTGGTTCAAATGGAAGCTCTCCAAAGTCTGCATTACATAAGGCAGCAGAGAATGGGCATCATGAAATCGTAGACTTGCTGATCAACCATGGCGTGCCTGTCGACGCACAAAATGCATCGTCACCAACTGCACTTCACTTGGCAGCAAAGAATGGCCATAAGGAAGTAGTAAGTCTTCTGATCAGCCGGCAGTGTACTGTGGATGTAAAAAATCAGTATTCAAATACTCCACTTCACTTGGCTGCAATGAATGGACAATGTGATATAGTAGACCTTCTAATCAATCATGGCGCGGCTGTTGACGAACAAAATAGATTCTTAGAAACTGCACTTCACCTGGCTTCAGACAAGGGAGATACGGAAGCCGTAGGTATACTGCTCCACCATCGAGCTACTGTCCACTTGCACGATGATAACTTTAATACTGCACTTCACTTGGCGGTAAGAAATAGACACAAAAGTACAGTATTTCAACTATCTGCCAACAGTGCAAATTTAGATGAAAAGTCCAAAGACGGGAACCCCCTTCTTGCCGAATTGTCGGAAAATGGAGATACAGAAATGGCAACCCTTCTCTTGGACCTTGGCGCTAATATCGACGTTAGGAATGCCAATGGCCAAACGCCTTTAATGATTGCTGTAACTGCCGCCCAACAGGAAATGGTTTCTCTATTGATCAAAAGAAATGCAAGCATAAATGCAGTCGATAACGACTCATTAACTGCTTTACACCTCTCAGCTAGAGATGACCATCTTGCCATTCTTGAGTTGCTGCTACAAAACAAAGCCAATATCGAAGCAAAAACAAAGTATGGTGATACTGCTCTCCATCTCGCCGCAGAATATAATCATTTTGATATTGTGGCTGCTTTGATTGCTCATAACGCCAATGTTGATACTCGAAATGAAAAACAAACTTCACCAATTGAGGTCGCCATATCGAAAGGTCATGTCAATATAGTATACCAGCTGAAAGACGCAGGAGCCATTACTGAGGAAACAGGAGATACAACTCTGTGGCTGCTAAATTTGGCTGTAGATGCCGGACAAATTACGCTGATTCAAAGCGCACTAGGTTTCATCAATGACGAAGAAGAGAGACGATACTGTATGAACACATTGTTGCATAGAGCGTCGCAGCATGGACAGATTGAAGTATTGACTTATCTCTTGGACAACGGTGCAGACATTGAAGCACTGGATGAGGATGGAAGGTCACCGCTGTTCTTGGCTGGTCAATATCCGGAAATAATATCCATACTGATCGATCGCGGAGCCTGCATAGCTACTAGGAAC